CAATAGCACGTCTTTGATTCCCATTGAATCCAGGAGAAGTGGACTGGTGTGGGAATTCAGTTCTTTGGCAATCTTATGTATCACTGATGCACAGTCACTTCAATACAGGAGTGTGGTGATGAAAACTGCTGTATACATTATAACTTTGGTGACTTATGGAGGTTTTTGTTGACAAACACTTGCTCTCGTAGATTGTGGAAGGCTGAGCTGATGGAGCAATGTTGGATCTCCCCATTAACAACTGTCTTTTGAGACAGAGATGGCTGTCAAGGTATGGAAAGTACTCAACATGTTCCTTCAACGCATATAGGAGGTGGAACATTTGACTGACTGGATGTATGTTACTGCAAAAGTTTTGCTTTGACAGTTTTCTAAACAGGCTGAGTTTCTGTATGCACAATTGAAGATGTCGAGAACAACTTACAAACTGGTGCAACCTGAGCCGTAACACGGCATTATCCTCAAACCATGGATCACACGTACATATGGCGGGTCAGTTTAATTTTGGCATAGACTGAGGTTAAAGTGTTTTCTGTCTAGACAGTATTTAACACTAACACCAAACGGCAGTTAACCTTTGATAATGAGATGAATAGTCATTGTCAGGGAGACTTCAATCTCACTGTCTTGCTTGACCCTGGTCTGGCATTTGTTTCAGATCTCCCACCCAAGATAGTTTATAGTCATATTATCCTGACTAGTTATGGACAAAGGGGGAACTGAATGAATTTTAAATTATGATTACTTTTCCCTTCACAAGTAGGAGACAGGGAAGTATTGCTAGATTTATTCATTTCTCTTTTTACTCGCATCCCTTGCTGAGAAAGGCTGAACAGTATTCCCCTAGTTTTCAAATTGCAATTATTAAAATAAACCCAGAACAAGCACCTTTAAGACTAAATCAAAGATTGGGCTTATTAACAAAATATTCAAAACACAGGGTAATTGTTTTGCTACTCCAGGCACCCACCCCCATACACACACACACACCCACAAGAAATCAGAAGAGAAGATAGGTTATATGTTACAAGTTTTGGTAAACCAAGCGGTATTAAAATTCATTACATGCAAACTATAACTTCTTGGATGTCAGTGTCCAATAATAGATTCCTTGGTAGGTGGTCTTCCTTCTTGCAGGCAAAGCATAGGCTTCTTTCCAGCCAGCAACTTGGAAGCAATGATGGAGGGTCTGAAGCAGGCTGCCAACTCAGCATGAAATCACACACTCCTTCTGAAGGTCAAACAGCAACTGACTTAGAATTCCTGAATTGTACATTTAAGCTATTCAACAAACTTAGATTTCAGTCTTGCAACAGTGTCAGATATTTCAGGTGCTAAGAGTCAATCCAATTAGAAGGTTGTTTAGCCAACAGCCAGGGAGGTAGCTTTACCACACTCATCAAAATTTCCATTACAAGGTGAAGTAACTAAAAATAAAATTAGCACCTATTTTAACATATTGGGCTTTGAGGGTTTTTTTTTAAGTCTACATCTGGCTGGAAGCAGACAGACAGTCAAATAGTTTGGTCAGGTTGGCTAATGCAACAAAGGGTCCCCTCTTGTTGTTCCTGACATTTTCTTAGTCTTTGTCATCTGGTAAATCAATGTCACAGGTTCCAGTGGAAGACTGAAGGTCACATTTTGTCTCAGGAAGGATTTCTTCAATCACTTGCCTGGCTGTCATCAAACAGCTATTTGATTCCAGTGGTAGTGTTAGGGCTAGGGACTGGTGGTGTTTTTTTCTTCCGGAGAGGGTTGTCTGGTAGTTCTGTTGTGTCAAAACATAATAGTGGTTCAAGTAGTATAGAGCCACCTTTGTTGTCCGAACTGGGTTGTCCAATCAAAAACAGACTTTTTAGAAACACCAACACATTCTTAAATTAAATTCTGACTTTGGAGACTCTTAAGTGATAGACTCAGCAAACAAACAGACGAATTACATTGAAGACTATAGTACAAGTTTAAGGTAAAATACAAACGTGAACAAAAATGGGGAACATTATGGTATTGGTAAGCACACTTCCTGATGCATTAAACTGCACAGTGCGCAGAAAATCAAATGAAAAATGCGATATACAAACACTAACATTATCAATGAAAAACAAATCTTATATTCAAAGGTACCAGATTTTGAAAACACACCCAGTCTACTGTAGACTACTACTAAAGAGGCACTTTCTCTGCTCGAACCTTTCATTGTAACACCTACCAACATGGCATATCTCAATAATTAATCTGAGAAGAACAAATTCTTTAAATTCAATGTAAAAAATCCAGTTGGACACAATCATGCTACTTGTCTTTCACGAATAGAATGGTAGCTGTTATGTGTAATATTTCAGACTGTAGGAGTCCTGGTAATTGTGGGATGACGCAAGGCACACACCCAAGTGCAAATAAAATGGATTCGTAATGATTAATCACAGAGGAATGTGTATTTGGGTGTGTGTATTATCAATGTTTGCAGCATAAACAAAATGTACATTTTTTTGATGGAACTGTTTATATGTGGTTGCTGAAGTAACAATTTGTTTCCACAATGTCATGTTGTATACAACACATGCACAAGGGGATGTTCAAACAAATACCACCAGATTATTCAACTGTTCTGAATCGGTCACCTAGTGACTCAGCACTTGAGCAAATATGCATGAATCAGAAAGCCAGAATGGACCAGTTCTGACTAATCTGCTTTTTTGTTTAAAGAAAAGGTTATGATTAAGGTAATAAGGGAGTGCTTATTAGTGTTATCCATTTGAACTTCCAAAAGGTATCTAATAAAGTTGACAGATTAAAAGAAAAATGCTCTGAACGGGAGATAGCGTTTAAAGTACGACTGGAAATTAGATAAAAGGTAGGAGCCACATCATAGGAATAAAGGGTATGAATGCAGTTCAACTGATGGGCAGGCCAAGTGATCCTAAGGATGTTATTTGTCTCAATTTTTCACTAATTAATGACTGATGAAAGAATAGAGTTGAACATCCAAGTTTGTAGATGATCCCAATTCTGAGAGAGAGTAGGAGTGGATGCAGGTACGGTTACAACATTTAGAAAAACATTTGGATAAGTACGTAAATAGGGAAGGTTTGGAGAGATAAAGTTGCCTTTTCTCTATGGTTGGATCTCTCATGATTTTGAATACCTTCATTAAATCTCCTCTTAACGTTTTCAACTCAAAGAACAACCACCTCAAACCCGCCAATCTATCCAACTAACTCAAATCTCTGTAACCATTCTCTTGTATTTTTTTCTGTAGCTCAACTAAGGCCATTCCATCTTTACTAAAGTATGGTGCCCAGAGCTGAACATAGAAACCCATTGTAAAACAGCTTTGAAAGCGCAAGAAATGAACTTGCAAATACAGTAATGCTGGTAAATCTTTGGGGAACATGTTACGAAAATTATGGGCCTTTGAAACCCTCTGGATTCGGTTGTTGACTTGCTCGCCGAGCTGGCTGGTTGTAGTACAGATGTTTTGTCACCATGCGAGGTAACATCGTCAGTGTGGCCTCTGATGAAGTGATGTAGTTCTAGTCCGCTTAGTATTTATATGACCTGGTTTGTTGAGGTGTTTTGTGTCATTTTTGGTTCTTTTTGCAAGGGTTTGAATATGGGGTCTGAGTCCACGTTTATTGATAGCATTACAGATGGAGAACCAGGCCTCTAGGAATTTCCGTGCGTGTCTATGGTTGGCTTGAGCTAGGACCATCACATCGTCCCAATTAACTTGATGGCCTTCACGTATGAGTCAACTGAAATGAGCGAAAGTTGGTAGTGTCATTTTGCTGCTAGTGTTTTGCTAGAGTTCACGTAGAGTCAGGGGAGAATGAATGGCGAACGGGGAATTTCAAACCACAGTATACAGGAAGGCAACCCACACTGACCAAATCCTTAATTTCCACAGCAATCACCCCAATGTTCACAAACAAAGCTGTGTTAGGACACTATTCAAACTGGCCACAACCCACTGCAACACACCCAAACTTCGCAAGAAGGAGGAAGAGCACCTGTACAAGGTTTTCGCTGTCAATGGATACCCCACCAACTTCATTTGCAGAAGCCTACTAGATAGACAACACCAAGAGGACACAATGCGACTTACTACACTGGCCACAGTACCGTATGTCAAGAACATACTGGAACTGACAACGAGACTCCTACGACCACTAGGAAACAAGACAGCACACAAACCCACAGCCACACTACGACAAACACTCTCAAGGACCAAAGACCCCATATCCATGACAGGCAGGACCCAACAGAGTATACAAAATACTGTGCAAGGACTGCCAAAAATATCACATCGGCCAGACAGGAAGGAAACTAGCCATCAGGATACACAAAATATTAGCCAGCAGCAAAACGACACAAAGAACTTTCTCTCCTTTCAGTACACTCAGACAATGAAGGCCATCAATTTAACTGGGACAACATGACCATCCTAGCTCAAGCCACCCACAGACACGCACCGGAATTCCTACAGGCCGGGTTCCCCACCCGTAATGCTATCAATAAACATGTGAAATTAGACCCCAGATACAAACCCTTGCAAAAAAGAACTGGAAATGACACAAAACACCTCAACAAACTGGGTCATATGAATACTAAGCGGAGTAGAACTGTGATAACAAGGTGTAGAGCTGGATGAATACAGCAGGCCAAGCAGCATCAGAGGAGCAGGAAGGCTGACGTTTCGGACCTAGACCCTTCTTTTGCTTCATTGGAGGCTGCACTGATGATGTTACCACGCATGGTGATGAAACATCTGAACTCCAACCAGCCAGCTTGGTGAGCAAGTCAACAATCTCACCCACAAGCCGAACTACAAATCTTCGCAAGAACCTTAAACTCTTTGGATTTATTAACAAAGAAGGGCTGACTGGTCTACTTCAACAGTAACTTCTTGCAATTCGGTGTCTTGTGCTCTTTATTGTGAAGGTAGAATTGGGAAAGTAACAAGGCCAACTGAGGTGTTGCATTCATTAAAAAAAAAATACCTTTGATCAGGTCTAAATCTTGTATCAGTGCGTGGTAGATATAACTTTTCATCAGGTTCCATTTCATTCAATCCTAGTGCGTATTTGGTAAGACCGTAGTACTGCTCAAAGTCTTTTGGCATGGCATCTACAAAGATGATTAAATACATAAATCATAGGAACATGCAACACACAAATGTCAAACCAAAATGGAGTATCACATCAACAACTGCACAAATTACAATAACATAAATCAATCATTTGCAGAAAATTAAAGGGAAAATTCTCAGAAAATCCATTTGAACTTGATAGAGAAGACCGTGCAATTACATTTTAAATGGCAAATCTGAGTCTTTTCCAATTTTAAATAAGTATGAATAGAAGCTTTGCTTAGTGAAGTTGTTGATTCCATACATTACCCTAGCCAAATAGTTTACTCAACACAGATTAAGTTGAATTTTCATTATTCTTTCATAAGGTGTGGGTATCACTGGCAAGATCAGCATTTATTGCCCATCCTTTGTAGCCCTTGAACTGAGTGGCTTACTCAGGTATTTCAGAGGGCAGTTAAGGGTCAACCACATTGCTGTGGGTCTGGAGTCACACAGTCTGAAGTCATGTAGGCCTAATAAAGAAAGGACGGCAGATTTCCTTCCCAAAAGGATATTAGACACTTGAAGGCAGCTGCATTGTCAACAGCAATGAAATGAGCTTTCAACTCCAGAATTATTAATTGAATTCAAATACTACTAGCTACAATGGTGGGATTTGAACCCATGTTCCTGGACTTTTAGCCTGAGCCTCTTAATTACTAGTCTAGTGAAATTACTGATTCATCCTGTGAACAGTGCATTTTTCACTTGTAGAAATCTTTCACACTTGCCATTAAATTATCAAAGAAAAAATGCCTGTAATCAAAAAGATTCAACAAACACTTGATTTCAAAAGAAACTGTGGGCATTAACTCAACAAATTTAGCATTTTGTCAAAAAAACTAAAGAGTGATTTGAGTACATTTTGAGTTTTGATATCTACTTAAACACTTTACAAGTGTTTGTAGTCTGTATAATCATCTTGTCTGGAAAGAGCAATCCTGCTAATGGCAACCCTCCCAATGGAGTCTTTGGTAGAAATGCAGGGAGTTGGCTCTCAAAGCTCAGTTTCCAAAAACAGGCTTAGTCACACCAACAGCACATTTATAAATTTGCACTTTCAAGTGCCAGTACAATTGCTGTTTCCTATGTATGAGAACATAGATATTAGAATGCAAAGGGTGAGAGACCTTGACAAAGCTCATATCTGAACCTCAGTAATTTAAAAGAACTATGCCAAATGTTCTGCTCACTTACCAATCAATAAGCTAATCCATCCCTTTACTTAGTTATGAGAAGATTATTAAAATATATAAATTGGCAAAAAGTACAGTTAATATCAACCAATGACTCTGCACCCCATGTGCTCTGGATACTAGAGATTTGCTGTTCCATTGCTCCTACAGTATGGAGCCTGAACTTAGTTGACACAAGAAGCCAGTTTCAAAAGTTTAGATGAATAAAACCAAAGATCATACATTCAGCTAATAAGCCAAATGCAATTTGATACAAAACAATGCTAACTATCCTTTCTTACTGCAATTTAAAAGATTAAAGATGGAAACTGAGCAGAAGGATTTTTAAACACTGCAGCATCTTCTCACAACTCAACAAGTGGTCCCATAATGACATATAATGTGTATCAATTTTTTTTACAGGCCGTGACCGTCAGAAAAAAAGGTGCTGTTTTAAAAAAAGACGCCGCTCTTCTTAGCTTCACATTCAGAAACTGTGAAATCAAACCCCCCAGAGTCCTGAATACATGTGCGATATGTGGAGCAGAGATGACAACTTGCCAAATTTAGCACAAAAATACAAAACACTTTATTTAAAAATCAGATGCCCTTGTTTTCTCCAGGTTTCTCAGTTTTGACAGAAATGTATTGAAAAACCTTGCTGTGGGTTTACCTCCGACATCATTAAAGACAGAAGAGGCTTCCAATGCAGAATCACCTTTGGCACAAGAATAATGCTGTAGAACAGAGCTTCCTAAAGGGTGGTTGAGATCCCAAGAGGGATCATGAGCTAACACTTTCTGATTATCAGCCTCAAGGCAAAAACGGTTAATCTCCTTTGCCTGCTCTTATAGGACTCCTTGCATCCACCCCAAAAACCACTCACAGGAGGGGAAGATGGTTGTGATTGTTGGGGGTCAGTCATTTCAACTCCAGGACATCTCTGCAGGAATTCCTCAGGGTAGTGTCCTCGACCCAACCACCTTCAGCTGGTTCATCAATGACCTTCCCTCCAGAAGGTCAGAAGTGGGGATGTTCACAGATGATTGCGCAATGTTCAGCCTCACACATGACTCCTCAGATACTAAAGTGGTCCATGTTCAAATACAACAAGATCTAGACAATATCGAGGCTTTGGCTGAAGAGTGGCTAGTAATATTAGCACCACATAAATGCCAGGCAATGATCATCTCCAATCTAACCTTTGACATGCAATGGCACTACCATCACTCAAACCCCAACTACCAACATCCTGGGGGTTACCACTGACTAGAAACCCAACTGGATTTGCCATATAAACAGTGGTTACAAGAGCAGGTCAGAGGCTAGGAATTCTGCAGTGAGTAACTCACCTCCTGACTTCCCAAAGCCTGTCCAGCATCTACAAGTAACAAGTCAGGTGTGTGATGGAATATTCCCCACTTGCCTGGATGGGTGCAGCTTCAACAACACTCAAGATGCTTGACACTATCCAGGACAAAGTAACACGCTTGACTGGCACCACGTCCACTTTCTTGACCAAAGTTCAGTAGCAGCAGTGCGTGCCATCTACAAGATGCACTGCAGAAATTTGCCAAAGATCCTTAAACAGTAGCTTCCAAACCCAAACCACTTTCATCTAGAAGCACAAGGGTCCCAAACACATGGGAACACCACCATCAGCGAGTTCACCTTCAAGATACTCATCACCCGGACTTGGAAGTATATCTCCATTCAGTGTGTTAAAATTCTGGAATTCCCCATAACAGCACAGTGGGTCTACCTACAGCACATGGACTACAGCAGTTCAAAAAAGCAACTCACCACCACCTTCTAAGGGCAACTAGAGACAGGCAATAAATGTTGGCCAGCCAGAGACACCCATATCCCATGACTGAACAAAAAAAGCATTGTAATCTAAGTTCACTGTAGGGTCTTGTAAAAAGATAGCTGGCCTGGTGAAATAACAATATTGCAATGCATAAGCTCACTGAGTAACAAGTGAACAATCATTCAATTTATTTTGAGGTGACCTATCATCTAGGCAATCAATGTGATTTGTGTACCATTAAATTATTGTTATGAAAATATATAAATGTTCACTGATACCTAAAAATGCTCATCTCATTCCATTCACTCACTGGTTTTGTAGTAATGTGACAGGTTATAGATAATCTAACCATGATCATGTGTACACATTTTAACTGAGAATTTGAAATAGTCAGCAATTCAAATTAAGCAATCTGACAGAGGAAACGTGTGAAATCAGTGTTTTAAAAACAATAAATCAGATGGTTTTAAAATAAGTAATGTTAAATCAAGAGTAGACTGCAGGTATCATGTACAAATTTAATTTTACAGACTCAGTTCCAAAAGGTGGAATTTTGGTTGTTCAAAATTAAATGCGAAGTGAGGAATAAAAGTGGCAGATACTTCCACTCAGGGTCCAGTTGGCTTTTCTTGTGCAAATATGTTCTTCTCAGCTCCATATATATGCAATAATTGGTAAACCGCCAAATAATATGAGCAGACATTCAGGATCTCTGTTCCCAGCCAGGACTTTCTGGGCACTATCTTTAAAAGACTTCCAGACAGTGTGATACTCTCTACAATCCAGTAACATCCTTAACCTCTGCTCATCATCTTCACCCTCCCTGAAGATGTCAGAGACCAGGCAAAAAGTGGAGCCACACTTTAACAATGTAGCTCTAGATATTGTCCTTAAAACTGCCCAGGAGTGAAGGGAAATTCTTTTTCCTAGGAATCGTAACAGGAGGCCAACGAAACTGATGAAAGCAGCCTGAGCACAGGTGGCAGCACCTATTCATGGCTCCTGTGCCACAAGAGGATGAATGATCTGCTCTGCTCTGCCAAGGTATGTACCACTATCTACTCAATGCTTTATGCCCCTCTAAGTGCAAATTAACATTGTAAGGTTGTTACTGCAGAGGACTGACACTATCAAATGTCTCATTTGCAAACTTCATTGCAGCTACCAATGTACTCGCACCATTATGGTATTACCTCTCTCACATCCGCCAAGGTTAACACTTAAACCACTAAAAGGAGTTACAACACTCAGCAGCTCTCACATCATCAGCTCACTGACTTTTTTCCACATGTAGGAGAATGTTCATATCTGGTAACTTTTCACTAAAAGTTTGTATGAAGAGAAAACACAACCAGAAAACACTGCTTTAGTATGAACAGATCACAGATTTCACAGGCACAGACATCATAAAATGGTTCGTTGTTTTTGCCGACACCTTCATTCAGAACCCTTAACATTCAACTTTTGCATAACATATTGCTCCAACCGGTTATTCTCTCAGACCACCACAGATCTGGAAACTGACAACTCTATCCATATCTCTCAATGCGGGCATAGTGCACACGTACCCATGCTAATATCGCTTAATGCTTCTCTCCTTTAGCAGAAGAATGTGCACAATAAGCACAAAGATGACCAGACCCCATGGTCCATGAGTAATGTTGCCTCTCAGTTGCACACATGCACAATGATCACTGTATGTGCCCCAGACCTTGAACAACACCTCTGAGGAAGAACAGTCTCAAGCAACAGAGGATGCGGCATTAACCCTCTCTTCCCCACTCTCTACCAGCACAATGCTGGGCAAGTCACCTACAGTAAGGTCAGAGTCACATTCCAGTGAGTGTAATACTGAGAAGCACAAAGAACAAGGAGGAAAAGAAAGTCAAGATCTCAGACACTTGAAGGACTGCTAGAAAACAGGCTCCTGTGCAGTCCAATACAAGTGGCCTCTGGACTCAGCTAATAATGAGCTGATGGAGATTTATAGACAAGTAGAGAAACATCTCGCAGAGATGCCAGAGACAACACACAGACTAGGATGAAGTACTGTCTGATGCTGTGGTTCCAGCAAGTGGGTGGCTGTCTCCACCGAATGGGTAGTTGTTACCATGGAAAGCCAGGTCTAGCCGAACAATCAGTATCTGCTGGGTAAATGCAGGAACCTTCACTCCATCGCTCAAGCTATGGATGCAATAATTCACTCTCTAGGTGAGAGAGAGCTGGGGGACCTTGATCTCCCTTCAGCAGCTCTATCCTTTTAACAGGTGACAAAGGTTTGGCACTGCAGACTTAAAAGGAAAAGGTACAACATACAGGCACACAGAGATGATTATCTCAGGACATCCTAGAGGTGCTTAGCCATATCCTCTTCCCGGGACACAGCACCTCCATCAGGTCAGACAGATGGGCTAGTGACTGTGCCTGGCCAGCAGATCCGAACCATTTGAACTCCAGACTACCAGAACAGGCTCACCAAAGTCATCTAAGGAAGCAGATTTCCTCAAGCACTGCTACTACTGCTGTCGTCAAGATGGCACCAGGGATGTACCAGTAGGAAAAGATTAAACAACACTGAAGTCACTTTGAACACATGGGCGTCAACATTCTGTCAGACTTGACACAAATATTGCACTTTGAAAGAGACCACCGGACTGTTGTACAATCAGTTAAGGCTTCTGACTTTTTCTGACATTTTCCTTGCAGATTACTTTGATTACTCATGCGCACGCTCTCACACATATCCTTTGGAGCTGTGCAAAGAGGACTCAGAGTTATCTGCTGCACTCTAGAAGGAAAATAACCTCTGGAAAACAGGAACTTAATACAGATGTTTGAGTTTTGGGTATTAAATTGATATAGTTTAGGCCCTCTTTATTTCTGTAATGGAAGAATGTCCCTTGCAAAATGAAGTTTGAATCACGTAAATGCGGCTTCCATGTGATCATTCCTAACTTCACCCTGGTACTCTGGCCTATAAACTGATAAGGGCATTATTTGTGCCGGGAAACAAATCAACTTACAATTAATGACAACAAAGTATCTTAACATTTTGAAGGTAAAAAGCGAGCATTCCCTTTACTGTAGGAATACCTCTGCGCCATAACTGGTGCTTATTTCTAAATGCACATTGATGCTAATACAAAGTTGTTCATCCTCAAATTGAGATACTATCAGGGTCTCTCAGGTCTGTCTGCTTCATTGATATACTGCCTTGGCTTCCTCAGCATTTTCATCATCATTGGTTCCTTCAACATCTTAATCAAATGTCCCTTCTTCTAAGTTCTTACTCCATTGCAGAGCTGGGCTAGCAGGTTATTGAAAACAATCACTATTCTGGAAATCCTGTCTGGTGAATGATCTTTGAGTGGTTCTTCTGTTGCCTGGACATCGTCTGTAGACTCTTCAATGATGTCTCTAGAGGATGCATGGGCAACATTGTACTGATACTCAGTTTCAATCCAAAGCTTAAACACTGGAGTTATTAGCCATGTCTTCTAGGGGTACCAAAAAGACAGTTCTAGTGAAAATGAGGGAAGTGAGCATTTGAGGCACCTGGGAGCTGTGCAAAATTTAAACATCATGGATAGCATCCAGGATAGTGGGCATACTCCCACATGAACTGTTGCCTAGCTGGACAGTCAAGGGGGTGAACCTAATGATACATTTTTGCATTCTCACAATTTGATTCGGATTCAGTATCAATTTTGTTTTAGCAGACTTTGTGGCTCCTATAAACCAGACAGAATTTTCAATAACACACACAAAGATAAGAAACTAGGGGTTAAGTAACTTGGGAGAAGCAATCAAAAATCCACTTCAGTATTGATCAATCTCCAGGGACAATGATGATGCAAGTCTAAAATCAAAAAATTGTTTACTTAACACTCTCAAAGCATTACTGAGTAAAATAGCTCACGATTCTGCTTTATACTAGTAAAGGGTTGAAATGTGCTTCAGGCCCGTCAATTGATATAATAAAAATTACTCAGATTTTCTGAAGTAAATGGATCTCCAATTAAGATGCAGACATTCACAAAATGAAGTCCTCTGTACCATTCACATCAGTTGTAGGCAAATACAGACTGTCATGCACAAAAAAAGCCTACACAGACTTCTTTCCTGAGCTGCTATGGAAACTGAAGTCCTTGAGGTACATGTAGCTGTAAAAACGACCTGGCCACCTGCTACATTTCTTGCAATTATAAACAAACAATTATCTTTATTAACCAAACAACTAAGTTAAATATATCAATCCAACGTGCACTTATAAATATTAGAAGCATTCAGGTACTAGGTAATATACAGTAGATTTAGAAATACCTATCAAATATCCACAATAACTGATAAAACTAACTGATGGAAACTATTAAGCATCAACTTAGAATATTTAGAATCCTTCCAAGCTATGTCAAAGGGTATCATTTCAACATCCATACATCATTCTCACTTGAACATGTGGCAAAAACATTGCCAAATAAGACACTAATCATTAATTCTTCAGATCTTTAGAGGTTTAGATCAATGTCCAGGTTATTCCCTGGTGTTTTTTTTTTTAATTGCAGAGAAGGGGGAAACTCAGCTGGCAGTACATACAGTTCTATCAAAACGCAATGCTCTAAGCTGCCATTGCAGCCATAAGCACATATCTTCAGCTGAAATTTCACTGAGGAACTGTGGATCTACCAGAGGTCAGTGGATCTCGTGTTTTATCCTGAACAAACATCCTTTTCAACTTGCTCTCTTACCTTCAAAGATTTGTGCATATATACCTGCACAGTTCTAAGCTTTACATTTCCTTTAAGATGGATTTTTTTTTTAGTACTGTCTCTTCCTGTTTTGTACAAAACTATACCACTTTGCACTTCACCGCATTAAATTTCAGTTTTCCTATTTCTGGCCAACCTGTATAATCCTGACACAAAAGCAAAACACACATGTCAAAAATCTGAAAATAAAACCAATGCTGCAAATATCAGTAAATAAGGAAAGCAGTATCTATGGACAGAAAGAGTTAATGGATGGTATGTTTATCCTTCTTTAGCAGCATGCTTGGAGTTGGGGAACACATTTAGTTGGTGGAAGAGTAAGCAGCGCCTGTTTTCCACACTCCACCCCAATTAGATTGCTGGCAGGAAGGCTCATACATGACCTTGTCACCTGACTGCCAATTGAAGCCCTTAATTGAACAATTACTGACCTACAAAAAGGCACTCAGTGTCAGATCGAGAGACTCAATATGGACACAGAGAGACTGATGATTACAGCTGGCTGGTAAGACATCTGTCATCCGCGCAAGGCTCTGTTCAATGCTGCAAGTGATTCAATATTTCATCAAACATGTTTCGATTGTCTAAACTTGAAACTTCAACACTGTTTTTCTCCACAAGGATGTCTGACTTGCTGATCGTTGCCAGTATGTAAAATTCTGAATTTAAAATTTGCTACCAAGGACCACAGTCCTTTCTTTGAAAAGCACAGAATAAAAAGTTACCTTATTTCAAAAACAATGCCACAAAGTGTCGAACTTCATAAAACTTCGTAAAATACTAAATGGTTTTGCAGTGAACTTAGTTAGTTCAATGATAAAAGTTGTTTAACACGAAGTCACTTACTTGGTCTCCAGATGCAGGTTGCCGATGGGGGTGTTCCACAATATATACCTTCATGCCATCTCCCAAACAGTCGATTTACTACTTTTCCCCTTTCATCCATTACTGTCCCTTCAACCTCATTAACATTTGAATTCCAATATTTTGCCTAAAATATCAACAATAACTTGTAAACTGCAAGAAAGCCCTTCAACACAGAATAATGAGAAATCCACCAATAAGCATTCAAGTACTAAGAATAGCAGTGAGTGTTAAAAGTGGATCTTTCATGAAGCGGAAATTTTACAAGCGAAATAACATTAACAGTTCTTACATTAATCCTAAATTTAATAACACATCAACTTCAATTTAACCGATACATATCAAAGCAGATACATCAAGGTCACAATCCACTGCTCTGTGACTGACAACCTGACATTTTGTCTTGGAAAATTTAGGCCTGAATTTTGTAAGCATGGAGAGGATCTCTGGCTTAGCAAAAAATGGCAACTGAGCCCTGAATCTCAAAGTCTTGTCCTCTGTGCACCACGCAACATTTCCAACAAAGACGGAATGTGGGCAGGTTGTGCTCTGCTCAATTGTGGTTCGGGGGATACAGATGCATTCAAACCTTAGATGACTTTTTAGATGGTCAGACCTATTAGAAGATGATCTAAAGCTGACAGTGTTCTTTAGAGTATACCCTATTGGGGAAATCCAGAGCAAGATTGGGACAGGTCAAGTACCCTTTGGGATCATGAAAAGCAGACACGAATGTCTATTTTAAAAAAGCGGATAAACACAATTAAACAATCAAGCTGTCGAGGTATTTAAATTTTTTGGTATTTAAATTTTGTAAAAATGCAAAACTAAAATCAGTATTTTCCATTTCATGCTGTCTCTTGACACAAACCTGAGGGTTATTACAGGATTTGTACTGCTTAACTGATTTCGCACCTATCATAGTGGGGTGCCCATCAATTCCTAATTTGACTGACAGTTTTGACTACTCATTAAAATCTTTAACGCGGGATTGTGTATCCAAGTGCTTATTTTTCAAGGAATTAAGTAGTTAAAGGAAATTAAATCAATTGAATGAGTTTTTCTTAATCAATTAGCATATTATTTTTAAACTAAGAACTTCATTTCATCTCAGCATTAGTTCAGATTTCTGGTTATACTAGACACCCGGTGGGTTAGCCTGGAGGATGCAATGGCAAAGGCATGTGGTTAGATAGCGTGGGTTGGCAGAGCGGTTATAAAAAGGCATGTGGCTGGTTCAGGGTATATAGGTCAGGGAACTATTGAGAGGTGGGGAGGTATGAAACTTTTGGTTGGCATGGATTGGACATGAGGAGAGCAAGTGTTGGAATGAGAGGATATGAATGGTGAGTGCTAGTGGAATTTTTGTTTTATTGTTCTTTTTTGTAAAGCTGGGATAAAGTGATGGAGTGCCATCACTGTTATTTCAGACAATCCACTTCTACAACTGGCAACCCACAGGCTGCTTTAATATCACTCCTGGGCAACAAGCCCCAACTCCCATTATCACTCACATCATCATCTTGTCACCCCCTGAAAAATCTGATTATCTGAGGCAATTATTCCTAAATCAGCTTTGCAGAGTCAAGCAAACTTCAGGCCTTAATCTCAATCATTCCAATTACTTTGAGGTAATTGTTTTAGAGGTCTTGTCTTCAATCGTCCTGCAAATCTGTTCTAGTCATACTAAGTTAACACAAAATAGCAGAATCGTGTGGTTATTGTGGAGATCTTTGATTGTTGTTTTAATAGTTTTTATTAAATTTAAAGTCAATTTTTTTCATTTTTTTCTGCTTAATAGCTGAAAGATACATACTATACTAGAATTCCTGGATGATCTGCACTTTATCATCGAACGCCTGCTTTGCAGATAGAGGCCATTTGGCACATCAAGTTTGCACTAACCGTCCAAACAGCATTCCACCTAGACCCCCTTCCCCCACCCTATCCGTGTAACCCCATATTTACCATGACTAATCTACCTAGCCAGCACATCCCTTGACACTAAAGGGCAATTTAGCACGGCCAATCCAACTAACCTGCACATCTTTGGGCTGTGGGACGAACCAGAGCACCTGGCGGAAACCCACGCGGACACAGGGGGAATGTGCAAACTCCAGACAGCCACCAAAGTCTGAAACCGAACCCACATCCCTACTGCTGAGAGGTAGTAGTGCTAAGCACTGTGCCACCGTGCTGCCCTTTATCCCGAGCACTTTCTTTCAAGCAAAATTCTGAACATTCTGAAATCCAGAATCACTAGTGGTTTGAGAATGAGGTAGCAAACAACCTAAATCTTCTTGATATGGTGGCATTTTCTTTAATATCCTCAGGAAATATAGGTGCAATGATGTTTGGGCAGGCATTGTACATTTCAGATTCATTGCCTGTGCACAAAATGAGATTAGACCTGTTGCGTTGCCTTTTTTAAAAAAAAACTGTGGAAATGAATAATAATGATGTTTACAAAAAACTAAGACTTAACCTGGTCTTAAAAGTCCTTGACAGTGGGCCGTAAGCAAGGAAGGTTACATGACTAAAACTACTACACACACAGTGGAAAGTTCAAGGCAGCCAAGTGATTCTTCTCCTTCAGAATTTCTAATTTGCTTCGAGGTTATTCAATGAGGAATGATTCTCATAGCAGCACACAGTTCCCTCACAAAAAAGCTGCACAATTTTAAAATTCATCTTAAGCTAACAAGGTGGTTGCTTGAAAAAGTAGGCCAATGCCAGCTAAGTGGTTAGTAACAACTAAATATAGATTTGACCCAGTAAATTCTCTTGGCTGATATTTCACATTTTTGTTAGATGTGATGCAGGCATAATTTTTAAAACATATAAGATGACCTGTAGAAATATTAAACTGTTTACATAAAACATCAGCTTGCCTCCTTTCAATTCTTTAAGGAAAGAAATCTTTCATACCTTCACAAATGTCAACTTGCATTGGCAAATGCTGCTATTCGTATTTTTAATGAGAATGTCTCCATAATGCTCTATCCATCTCTGTCCACTCAAAATATTGTGTACACAAGAGGTTACTTTACTCCATTCATAATGATCTCCATACCTGAGAAGCAAACAATTTGTTTTTTTCTTTTGCAGACATACAGAAATAAATAGATTTACTCCATATCAGCTTGCTTATGTAAAATTATTGAATCCATTCATTATTGCATTTTGAGAATTGTGAGAAAAGTGAAAATAGCCCCAAGTTATTTAAGATAAATTTGAGAACACCACTGCAAAAATCAAGGCCATGTTTTTATTTGCACAGAATCTGTGAAAGTCATGCTGTTCCAAAGGATTCTTTGTCCCCCCTGATAATCATCTAAACTCTAGTCTTTCTAGCTTCTATCTGATGCTGACTTTTAACTCCAAGGGACAATGTTGCTGTTTGCCACTGGAATTCTTGATCTGACAGCAGTCATGAGATATCATGAATTTCCACCCATTATATGTCATGATGGTTGGTCATCAGCAGATAGATGACAGTAGTGGCAGAAAGGATTAAATTCATAGTACTGATTTCATAAACTGCATGTAGAAGAAGCAGAAGTGCATACGTGAAGGACAAGGACAAGAGTGGCTCTGGGCTCTTTAAACAAAAACAGTAAACAAACTTATCAATATTGATACAAATCTGCAGTTGCTCACAATAAATATAGTCCAGCTATTGTAATTGAACAGATAGCATCAGTGCTGGCACAACAGACCAGAAGACCACCTTCTGGGCTGGAATTCAATGATTTGTCAAGTTTCCCTGCAACTGTTATTGAAATTTCCCAGTGGGGAAATCCAAGTACACTAGCAGAACCTGGACAGAAAAATCAGTGTAGGTTCGAAGAATAGTTATTTATTTAAATTTAGAGGAACTTTTTAAACTAAGCAATTTTACAGAAAAAAAACCTTGTCCAACAGGTTATAACATCCATTAACAGTCTTGAACAAGGCCAATAATTTTAACAAAAATACTGATGGAATGGCAAGATTTGATCACAAAAACAACAGGTTAATCCCAAAATCAGATGCAAAATGAATAGAATTTCACTTAAACAGCAGCCCTGTTCATCAGATGGGGATTAAAGATCAGTGCATTTCTGTTCAATTCCAAGTGTTTTAAAAATTAACACTTCACTTCTGGACCTATCTGTGTTTCCAGATAAGTTTCTTTGTATGAATTACATTTACAGATTACTAAGTGCTCACTTTCTGCTGGCTATAATTATTTTCATAACCTCAAACAAATTGAAAGGAAACTGCCTATCCAAATCTGGTAGGGTCCTTATTCAGTATGCTTGACCAAAGCTCATGACATCATTGAACCTGTGACCTGACCAGGGAATCTGCAGGACCACAAGAAATCGGACCAGGCTGGGACCACTTCGCCCACTTGACTGCCCCAAGAACCCTCACTCCCCAAATTCCCTGGCATCACTCTCATCCAAATGCTGGTTGGTAGCCAATAGCCACAAAACTATCCAGAAGCTGACAGCCATGCTTAGCAAAATGTGATTTAACTGCCAGTTAAATTTGCCACAGATTCTCAAGCCTGCTGCAACGTAGAAAAGCAAATGAAACCAGAAGTCTTGCACCAGGAACCCACTGGCTGCTAATTTTTCTCCTTTTGGTTTGCTGCTTGCATCTGTGCTCAATTCTAAGTTATTCTAACACAGTGGTTGTTACTGAAACATTCATCCAAAGGCCTGGAGCAATAATTACAATTTGAACACAGTTTTAAAAGATCTTGAAATAATCAGTAATTTGACAGGAAAGCCTTCTGACTGTTGCAAACATAACTGCTTCAACTTGAGAATGAAACCTATCATCCTGGACCTGTGTGAGGTTCTAGTCCAACACCAATGCATATGGCATGTAATTTCCCTTTCACGTAGCCAAGCAAACCCCTCAGTTATATCAATCACTGGTCTACTGAAAGAGTACATTCACCATACAGGCTACAGTTGTCAACAAATTGGCTCACCAAGCAATCTTCATTTGTACCCAACCATAGGGGATAAATAGCAGTCTTATTAGTAACTCATACAAGCTGAGAATTAATTTTTAAAAATTCTGATTTAAATTATGTTTTAGCACTGTTCTGGGCCTGGAAGGTGCTATCGAAGGGGCTTTGGAGAGTTGTAGCAGTGCATCTCCTGGGTGGTATACACTGCTGACACTATGCTGCTCGTGAAGTTCACAGGCCGATGTTACGCAGAATGCTGCTTTGTCCTGGACCATGTCAAGCCTACATTGTTTGAGTTGCATCCAATCAGGCAAGTGGAGAGTATTCCATTACACTCCTGACTTGTGCCTTCTGGATGGTGGACAGGCTTTGGAAAGTCAAGAGGCGAGTTATCCTCTGCTGAATTCCTTCCAGTCTTTGACCTGTTTTGTAGCCACTGCATTTATGTAGCTAGTCCAGTTAAAGTTCTCATTAATGGCAGCTTCTAAAATGTCACTGATGAGGAATGAGATGATAATGCCATTGATTGCCTAGGGGAAGTAGTTATATTCGCTCGTGTTTGAAATGAAAATTGCTTGGAACTTGTATGGCATAAATTTACTTGCTGCTCGTCAGACCAAGACTAAATGTTGTCCAGTTCTTGCAGTATAAAGATATGAACTGTTTCAGTATCTGAAGAGTTGCAAAATTGCTTGAAGGTCGTGCAATCATCAGAAAAATCTGCACTTCTAATGTTCGCATGGATGCAACTTCATTGAGGAAGCAGCTCAAGATGAATTGACCCAGGATATCATCAAGGAACTTGAGCTCAATGTCCTGGAATGGAGATGTTTGCACCCCAGCTACTAAAACCATCTTCCTTTGTTCTAGGTACGACTCCAATCAGTGGAGAGTTTCTTTCCTGAACCCTACTGACACAATTTTGCTATGGCTCCTTGCTGCCTCACTCTAGGGGAGGCACTCTTCCCTCAGCTCGGGAATTCAGTTCTTTTGTCCACATTTGGACCAAGTCAATAGTGAGGCCTGGATTGCGGAGACCCTGCTGGAAATGTGCATCAGTGAGCAAGTTATTGCTGAGCAAGTGTTAATTGATGTCAGTATGATGTCCCTTTTTATCATTTTGCTGATGATTGAAAGTAGATTGTTTTGGTGGTTTTGTGGAGCGCAATGGAAAACAAATGGAAAATTTCAACAGGTCTGCATCTATGGAGAAAGGTAAGGATTTATGTTTTGAGTCCAAAAATGACTCTTCTTCAGAATTGAAAGGAGTTGGAAAATGGTGGTTATGATGATATTGTCAGAGGGAGAAGAAGAAATGATTAGAATAGATTGTGAGGGTGCTCACAGCAAAAGACAAAAGGGTTGCTAATGCTGAAAGTCAGATAGAACCACAAGCAAATATGTGAAAAGGTTCACTCTGATGAGCAGAGGGGTGGAGTGGTGGTGATGGTGGTGAGGGGGAGGGAAAATAGTGTTCATGCTTTGAACTTGTGGAACTTGATGTTGAGTTCAAAAAGCTGTTAAGTGCTAAGTAGAAAATGAGGCGTTGCTCCTCTGGCTTTCATTGTGCTTTGCCGGATCTCTGTAGTAGGCCCAGGGTGGAAGTATTAGCACGGAAGCATGGTGATAGTTTGAAATGGCAAGCAAGTGGAAGGTCAGGGTCAGTCCTACAAAGTGATGGTGTTCTGCAAAGTGTCTGCATTTAGTTTCGGCAATGTAAAGACCACCGCATTATTAGCAGTAAATACAGTAGGCCAGATTGAAAGTAGTAGAAGTAAAACTCTACTTCACCTGGAAGTGGTGTTTGGACCCTTGGAGAGTGAATCGGGAATAGGTGAATCACTAAGCGCTATACCTTCCACGACTGTATGGGAAGATGCCATGGGGGATTGAGGACAGTGGACCTAGTTGTCACAGTGGGACCAGTCTCTGCAAAATACCGACAGTCGAGGGCAAAGAAGGGGTGTATGATGGTGGCATTCTGCTGGAGGCAGAGGGAGTGATAAATGATGTTCTTTTGAACATGGAGATTGATGGGCTGGAAAGTATGGATGGAAACGGGAACTATGTGATTGTTCTGGGACGGAGGAGAAGGGATAAGTGCATAAGTGTGGGAAGTGTGGGAGATAGTTCGGACATGGTTGAGGGCCTTGTTAACTACGGGGTGGTGGTGGTGTTTGGAATTCTTCAGTTGAATGAAAAAGGCGGTCATGTCAGTGGAAGTTGGCACCTTTGGAACAGATATGACAGAGACACAGAAATTGTGAGAATGGAATGGAGTCCTTGTAGGCAAGTAGGGTAAATGGATGTGCACCCTAGTTGGGCTTGTAATGAAGATTAGCAGGCAGCCTAACCCCATAAATGGAAATGTATAAGTCAAGGGTGGAGAAGGGAGAGATTTTGAGATGGACCAAGTGAAAGTGAAAGAAGAATGAAAACTGGGAGCAAAAGTGACGATTTTTTTTCCTATTCTGGATGAAAGCAGGAAGCAACAACACTGATTACATCATTGATGTTATTAGAGAAAGAGGTGTGGGTGGGTGGATATTCCACAAATCCCACAAACAAACAGGCATAACCGAAACTCATGTGGACACCAAGAGCAACATCTCTAACTTGGAGAAAGTGAGAGGAGTTGAAGTTGACATTGTTCAAAGCAAGAACGAGCTCAGCCGAGTGAAGGGGGTTAATGGTGGATGGACTGTTCATGCCTCTTTTCATGGAAGCAGAGAACCTTCAGGCCATCTTCATAGGGATTGGATTGCACATCCACGGCGACTACGGTCAGAAAACAGGAAATTATGGAATTGGCAATAAAACATTGATTTTAGTGGAAAGACTGAACAAAGGGGGATGAATAGAGTCAGGATAGGAAGAAATAAGTACAGTGAAGCAGTACAGACTGAAGTGATGGGTCTGCCAAGGCAGTTCTTTTTGTGAATTTTGGGAAGGAAGTAGAAGTAGGCTGCTCACAATGTTGTCTCCTCTGTATTGGAAATGAAGCGCAGAGTGGGTGACCGCTTTGCAGAACACCCAAGTTCTGTTCGCAAAAAAGACGCTGAGCTTCCAGCTGCTTGCCACTTTCAACATGCTGCTGTGTTCTTTGGCCAACATCTCTGACTCAGGCTTGTTGCAGTGCTCCAGCGAAGCTCAGTCCAAGCTGGAAGAACAGCATCGCATTTTCCATTTGGGAATGCTGCTGCTTTCTGGACTCAATGAGTTCAACAATTTTCAGGCTTGAGCACCTTTCTCCATGCTTCTTCCCACCCCCCACACATCAGGTCTTGTCATCACATGAGCTTCTACCACACAAAACCCACTGTCAGCTACTAACAATTAGCAGCTATTCATTTTCCTAGGCTGGTCTTTATCCATTCTTTTGTCCGTCCAACTGTATTTTTCTCTCTTTGGGCTCCATCTCCAACTATTTTTTTTCCCTTCTCCTTTCCCCACCTATCTTCAGTATAAAAACCATCCTTTTCCTAGCTACCATCAGTTCTGAAGAAGGGTCACTCGACCCAAATTTTAACTCTGATTTCTCTCCTCAGATGGTGCTGAGCTTTTTCAGCAATTTCTGTTTTTGTTTCTTAATCAATCAATCAGATTGAAGAACAATTAATGGGCAATGCAGAGTTTGAACAAGTAATATCAGTTTAAATGGTGCATTCAACGTAAAATCAGGTCTAAGTCTCAAAATGAAGAGAATGAAAGTTTTGATTAACAGAGATAAAATAGACAGAAAGGAAAAGCGAACACACACATACACATTTTACATAAAATCAATTCTACAAATGTTAACTTCATTTGTAAATTAACTTTCAGTGCCAAAAAGTTTGTTAGACAGTAATTTAGACTCACCATGTTGGCAAAGGATCAAATATACCGGAATAGACAAGCCTCAATGTTTTGTGGCAGATTCAGTCTATATCCATGGTATCAGGACAGTGACTCTACACCACTTAGTCTACTTGAATGAGAGCCAGTTCTTGAGATACTGTACTGAAAACGAAAAAAATGCTAGAGATCACAGCGGGTCAGGCAGCATCCATGGAGAGAAAGCAAGCTAATGTTTCAAGTGTAGATGACTTTTCATTAGAGCTTGCTTTCTCTCCATGGATGCTGCCTGACCTGCTATGATCTCTAGCATTTTTTGTTTTCAGTACAGATTCCAGCATCCGCAGTAATGTTCTCCCACTTGATGCTGTGTTTGCGGAGTTTACAGAAGAACAGTGCATCTCTTACAGCATCTTGGGTCTTCTAAACATTGTAGCATTTGCTGCTAAACGTAGGTTTAACATGGCTTAACATTGTTAGCCTCCCATTATCTTTAATGGAAAGAATTTGGCCAAAACTGTTTGACCTCTTTTAAATGGAAGTAGATATTTCATTATTCAATTAACCTCATGCAAATGTGCAAAATTAGATTTTAAATGAAAGAATACAGTTCTTTGTTGATACGCAAATAACTCATACAGTTGAAGTGCCTTAGGATATGCGTCGAGATTAAAGGATATGTTGAATATGAATTTGTGCAGACAGTAAATAATATTTCACCATTCTGTGCATCATTGCACAAAATAAAACGTTTTATAAAGATGCAGTTATTCAAACATATACTAAGAAATTATTCCTTAGTATCTGCTGAAAATGTTCCAAACCATCACATTAACTGCATCAGTAAGATGCTGATACAACATTAGTAGGTAAACAGTGAGTAATCAGGAGATGAAGTAAATGATGCATCAGCCCACTGCAAATTTCATAAGCATGTGCAAAGTGGGTGTAATGTGGCAAAGAACCTAAATTATATAAAATTGAATTCTTGACCAATAATACTATAATTCATTATACAGCAAAGTGAACAAAAGAATGAGCTTTAGTTAGCTTTAAAAATGCAACAAATGGAACTTGTTTGATAGAATTCTTCCCATAAAGTAAATTGAATATACATCAAAAATACAGATTAATGATGACTTCATCATCCACCTTACTAATAATTAAGCTTTAGTTATTAGACAGGTCTAGACAGATTTTCTAGGTTTTGAATAAAACAGAAAACATCTTGAATTTTGTGCAAGAGGCAGTTACAGAAATCGCTACAGAGATAAATTACGCAGGTAACATGATGGGTTAAGAAATAAATGGAAGGAAAATCTTTTTCCAAAGTTGCTGAAAAAAGATAAATCCTTAAATTTTTAGGTGCCATTCTAAGAATTTGAGAAGCCTCTCTGTTCTTTCACATTTAATACAACCTTGAAACTAACGTACACTCATTATAAAATGTGAAAGTTTGGTGGATCAACTTAGATCAATCATATATAATTATGTATCAAGTTAGTCCTTCTAACTGGACAGAAAGTTAAATGAAAAACCTGGCATTCAACAGGATTGTTAGACAGTAATGGGTAGAAAGAAAACATAAGAGCTTTCTTGGAATACATCATATTAGCTTTATCAATCTGAATTTCAAATCCATATAAACTTGCTTAATTATTTTTCTGCAGCAGGATTCATTCTCCAATAGTACTTACGTTGGTAGAGTTACATGAATTGTACCAACAGGAACAATCTCCATTGATTTACCCCAGAACTTGTTCTTCCACCTCACGTCTAAAACGAGAGTTTGAAAAACTCCATAAATATAAAATGACACTTACAGACTGATCAGAAATTATTTTATACTTACATAATAATCTTATATTGAATTAAAGCTTATTAATTAGTAATTTATTGTTTTAATTTAGCTACTTATCCATTCTCTTCTTAACATGTAATATTTTTAGCTGCAAGTATTCTGCTTAATTGGAGAATATGCACGTCCAAAAAAAGTCCTAATTCATTTCTGCTTTCTGACCAATTCACTTCTTACTGTGGTTCAAGGAATCTCTTCCTGTTCAATTCATTGTCAGTAATGTTCCAGATAGTATTGTAAGGCATCATAGGATACATTCCTATGACATGAACAATCCAAATATTTTACAGATCATATGTGTTCATTGAACACAGCACAGCAGATCATTCAGTTCATTGTAATTGGCATTCTGAAAGAGCTATCCAATTCATTTTATATCCCACATTCCTATAGCTCCTCTACCTACACTCCATCAATGCAAATTCTGTACCAGAAAGAGGAGTGAGTTCATCACAACAACTAAAAAAAAATCAGTAACTATTGAAAAAGAAGAAAAATATATTAATAGAATAGGGAATAAGTAGAGGGATGGAACTAAGCAGATAACTCTTCCAGAGAACCAGTTTAGGAGCCATGAGTTAAATAGCCACATTCAGTGCTGCAAAATGATCTGGTGCTTTTTGTAAAATCCCATTTTAAAAATTATTATGGACTTTTAATTAATCGGAAACAGATGGGGCAACATTCAAGTAACCCTTTGCCTAAAAATAAATTCTCATTTCCACTTTCTTCTTTTGGTTAGCTAATATTGAATGCTGCAATCCATTGAAAAGTCTTAGAATTAAGCAACTTATCTTAAAAATGTATTAATTCGATATCAGATGTAATTATTGGCACTGGTCATAGAACAGGCAGCTTTTCTAAATTTGCAACATAGATCTGTTGATTTGTTGCTGTGTATGGCACATGCCCAGTAATTTCTTGTTTTGGAAATGTAATCCTTGCTCAGATTTCCGAGGGGAGAATGGAGGATATAAAACCGAGAAATATGCATGTACCAAAACAGAAGATCAAATAAAGTGAATTGGTGAACTGAATCGGTAATTAAAAGCATTAAGCAAAATGGAAACATTGAGGTCAATATGGTAAGCAATGGAGCAAGACAGGAAGGAAATACTACTCACATCATGGTGAAAGGAAAGGGAACTCAAACAATTGAAAGGTTTAAAATTGGCAAAAGAGGAGTTAGATTAGCCTAACTGCAGTTAAAACTGATAAGACTCCAGAAGCAGATGAAACACATCTAAGGAAGCAGCAGAAACTGAAAGTTTGGAGGCATCAGATTGTAATTTTCCAGTCTTCGAGTGAATGGCGATGCCACAGAACTGGAACATTGCAATCTTATTCGAAAGAAGAATGTGCAAAGATAAGACCAACATTTGTAGGTCAGTTATGTTAATTTTGGTGCTGGTGGGGGTGGGGGAATGCTTCCAAAAACAATACCCTGGGATAAAATTAATAGTCGTGAGCAGCAAATGTGGGCTAATTAAGGAAAACCACCAGGTTAAGGGAAATCATCCTTAATTAACTTTGTCATGGGGTAACAGATGTTGAGAGCAAAAAATAGAAGTGGCGGTAGCAACGTGGATATGAATTTGGCTATGTGTTACGAGTGGTGTTTAATAGATGGTTTTCTGATAAAAAAGGATATCTGTAGTTGTCAATGTTGGAACCCATGTCCTTCCTGAAATAGCTGAATCATCCAGAACTGGGTATATACTGGGCAATTTCAAAATATGGAAACAACAAGAAATTTCAAACTGCACAATTTCAAAATTTGTAGACAAGAAATTCTGAAGCATTGTGTCCTATAAGGAAGATAGAGTAGAGCTTCAAAAGAACATAAGTTGTTGGAATGGGCAGACAGGTGGTAGATGAAGTTCATCACAGAAAGGTTTTTTTGTTCATTCACAGAATGTGGGCATTGCTAGCTAGGTCAACATTTATTTCCCATCACTAGATGTCACTGACACCGCTGTAGTCAATTTCCTGTAGGTAGCCCCAAAATGTTTTCAGCAAGAAAGTTCAAGCACTTTGATCCAGCAAGAGTGAAGGAATGGCAATATATTTCTAAGTCAGCATGGTGTATATCTTTGAAGGGAGCTTGCAGGCAATGGTATTTATTTGTATCTGTTGCCCTTGTCCTTCTAAATGGTAATGGTTATTGGTTTGGAAGGTGCAATCTAAGGAATCTTGGTGAATTTCTACAGTATATCTTGTAGGTGGTGCACACTGCTGCTATTGAGCGCTGACAATGGAGGGAGCTAATGTTTGTGGATGTGGTGTTAAACAGGTGGGCTGCTTTCTCTTGAATGGTATTAAGCTTGAGTGTTTTTGAAGCTGCACTGATCCAAGCAACTGGGGAGTATTCCATCACATGCCTGACTTGTGTCTTGTAGATGCTGGACAGAATTCGAAAACTGATTTATATACTGCAGGATTCCTAGCCTCTGACCTGCTCTTGGGTAGTAAAGATTTATGTGCCGTTCTTTGATAAACAAAAGGGGAGGCTGGAGAAGACCTCCGAGTGGGAGGGGAGGGATCCAGTTGGCGTCTTCCACTTTGGTACCAATGGCATTGAAAGGAACAGAAAAGAGGTTCTACTGAAAGATTTCGAAAATGTAGGAGTTAAATTAGAAAGCAGCACCTCCAAGGTAGTAATGTTGGGATTACTATGGGCTACAAGCAAACTGGCATGAAGTAAATAAAATGTAGTAGTTTGGGAGAAGTACATTGGCAAATTGAATAAAGGGTGTAGACAGGATCTTATATTAATTGGACAGGAGAGGATTGGGGAGAGGGGAAATATAGGCTTACAGAGTAAGAGGATAGGAGACAATTACAGGGAAGCTATTTGGATAATGAAATCCAGACTACACAACGTGTACAAACATAGAAAAAAAAGCACTAAAAAGGGTCAAAATGTGTAAGAAATGGTAAAAAGGTAAATGGTTCTTTACTTAAATGCATATAGTATTTGAAACAAAATAAATGAATTAACAGCACAAATATATGTAACTGGTTGGGATCCTATAGGTATTATGGAGAATGCTTACAAGGAGATCAAAGCTGTGAGCTAAATAAACAAAGTATGTGATTTGTCAAAAGGACAGAGAGAATAAAGGTTGGTGAGGTAGAAATGATTTTGGATCAGAAGATGTTGAATCCATGCGTGGAGGTAAGAGGTGGGGTGGAGGAAACAATAATAATAGAGAACAAGGAAATGGAAGAGGAATTGAATAAATACTCTGCATAAGTCTTAACTGAAGAAGACACTAAAATCACTAAATAATCAAGGGGCAAAAGGTAGAAAGGAAATAAATGCAATAATTAATATTAGAGAAAAAGTACTAGGGAAACAAATGGAACCAAGACTGATAAATTCCCTGGAACTGATGGGATGCATCCTAGGATATTTAAAGAAATATCTACAGAGATAGTGGAGGCATTGATAGTAATCTTCTAAAAATCCTTAGATTCTGCAAAGTCCAGAAGGATTGGAAAACTGCAGATGTAATTGTCTTACTTAAAAATGGAAAGAATAAGAAAAAATGTAGTTATAACCTAGTTAGTTTGACATCTGTGATTGGTAAATTGTTGAAGAGCATCATAAAGGATGTAATCACAGAGCATTTAGGAATACATTATATGATCAAGCAGAGTCAGCATGGCTTCACAAAGGAGAAATCAACCCTGACAAATTTATCACACTTCTTTGTAGTAGTAACAAGTAGGAGAGATTAATGGGATACAATGTAGTTAGATTTTCAGAAGGCATTTGATAAGGTTCCACACATTAGGCCATTAAATAAGACAACAGCCTATTGCATTGGAGGTCACATATTAGCACAGATTGAGGACTTACTAACTAATAGAGACCAGAAGGTTGATATAAGGGAGGCAATTTCAGAATGGCAAACTGTAACTAGTGGAGTATCTCAGCTATCACTGCTGGGGCCACATTTATTTACAATATATATTAATGATTTGAATGAGAAAAGTCAAATACAATAGCTAAATTCGTCATTGACACAAAACAGGTGAGAAGGCAGGTGGTGAGGATGACACGAAGAGTCTACAAAAGGATTGTAAACAAGTTAAACAAGTGGATACAAAACACTTGACAGATGTATATAATATAGAAAAATGTGAGATTGTGTACTTTGGCAGGAAAAGAGATACTGAATAATACTTCAATGCAGAAAGACTACAGAAAGCTACAGAACAAAGGAGTTTGAGTTTTGTGTATAGATTCCAAAAACGTAGCATACAAGTTTAGCAGGCAATAGGGAGGGCAAACAGAATGCTGGTCTTTTATTTCACAGGCTAAAACTATTCTAGCACCAGTCTGGTCACAGCTGGAATACAGTGACAGTTTTGGGCCCCTTATCCAAGAAAAGATATACTGGCATTGGAGGCAGTCCAGTGAAGGTTCACTGGGCTGATACCAAGTATTGAGGGACACTCTCATGAGGCGGGGTTAAGTACGTTGGGTCTGGACTCATTGGAATTTAGAATAATGAGAGGTGACCTTATTGAAACAGAAAAAAATTCTTGGAGGACTTGCCAGGGTAGGCGTGGAATGATTATTTCCCCATCTGGAAGAGTCAATGACCAGAGGGCATAATCTCAAAATAACAGGTTGACCTTTTAAAGGCAGGGATGAAAAGGAACTAGTTCTCTCAGAGGGTAATGAACTTATGCATTTTTATTTACAACAGAGGGCTGTTGAGGCTGGGTCATTAAGTGTATTCAAGTCTAAGATGGACAGATTTTCAAACTGCAAGGGAACCAAGGGTTATAGGGGAAAGGCAGGAAAGTGGAGTTGAAATTTATCCAATCAGCCATGTATTCATTGAATGGCAGAGCAGACTTGATGAATGATCTGCTTCTGCTTCTCCATCTTATAGACAAGCAGTCCATTCCAAAGATTCATGCTTTCCCATTTCCAACCTAGTAACAAGAAAAGCTTTCTTTCTGACTGTTATTCCACAATGAAATTTCCAAACTGCTATTATTCCTGAGCATACAAAACCTTCATTTTATAAAAACTCTTCTTCCGTTCCTTAGAAATGGCACAAAATTCCCCATTCCAGCATACACCTACCTTGCCAGAAAGTAAAGTTTTTTGATTCAGCGTGACATGCTGATATTGGAGGATGGTGGCTCACCTAAAACGAAACATTGTTGGAAAGTAAAGTATGTTAAGATTTTCCTCCATAAATTTGCTATTTAATAGTTACCTTTATTTTTCATCTTCATTTGAAATACAAGTCCAAAATTCACAAATACACTTTTGTCTTTAACTATCAATTTAATGTGTTTGTTGCTGTTAGCGCCTTCATCTGCCAGCCACACAGAAAATTCCCACTTTGTTGGCTAGTGTATCTATCCACTAACTTTAATGGGGTACTGGAGTGTAGCACACCTACAACTTATCAAAAGCTTGCATTCACGGCTCTTTTTCATTTCTTTTTTCTACTTCTGTAATGAAAACCTTAATTCCCAATTGGCTTCAAATTCAGAGGACTGGAAAATTGAACAGAATCATGTTCCACCAAAATTCTGCCATATTTACACCTTTTGGATAAACACAATAAGGACCAATGTCTTAGTGATTCCTAGGCTGCTCTGGGAAACTTCAGACAGTACGTAATTTAAAGACCATTGTGAAAATCACATCACCTAAGAGCTGTTGACATTTTGCCGACAATACCAAAGGTTAACAATCTCTGCAATCTCAAGATAAATTGATGTCTATGGTATCAATTACTTTCCAAAGTCCTTCTGCTTCCATCTAGAGTCTAACATTTATGAAAATAACCTATCAAGAGTCATTCCTGCCATTGCAGCAGTATAATATTGCTGATGCACTAGTTGCAGGTATGTGAATAACCCTGGCCCATCTTCAGATGATAGCCGAGTTTAACTGGATGAACGTGGTCCACACTGCAATACTTCTACATGTGGAACAGGCCAATTACATTGAAAAGCTTGACTGTATAAGACAAAAACAGCACTGAAAACCACCTATTTGAGGTGTTCTTTGATAAAAGCTGTTGCAACGTACACAGAATTAACCAGTCCCTTGGAAATTATGGTTACAGTCCCTTAGAAATTAGAGTAGAAACACTTCTGATTTACCAGGCACTCATTACAAATATAATTTTGCTTAACTACAAATGTTTCTTCCCCATTTCTCAATACAACTAGGACCTGTGCAGGAAACCCAGCTGTTCAGTCACTCTCTCTGTAATTGTGTATACTTGTTATGCATCAAGAGCCGTTACCTGTTCAGCAATAAACTGGAAGCCTTGTTCTTTTCTTATGCATTCATATGTCTCCCCTAGAACTGGGTTAAATGGCTTACTTCCAGCTCTGTAATATGAAGATGCATATGCTGAAACTGCAAAAGCTGCCACAAAAACCTATGGGAATACAAGAGATAAATGACTGTTCTTATTCCATCACTTTAACTGCTTAACGGAATACTGGGCCATTAGGTTATAAAACTTGAAATATTACCAATCCATTACTCGCATTTAAAATACAAGGATGTTCATTAAACATGCATTTTCTCCATTGAAAACGAAGAACAAATAAAACCTTATAAACCTAAATCTGGGATTGACCTATTATTCAATGCTCCAAAGTAATTTGGACAAAACTAACAAAAAAAATTCACAAATGCACATTTTCAAATCTGTCCTCTTTTTGCTGTTTATAAAGGCTGGCAAAGAAAAGAAATTTTACAATCATTCTTAATAGCAAAATTTAAATGTGTGCAATTTTACACTCCCCCAAAATATACCAATATTATCTAAATTTTGTAATAGCTACATTGAGGCAACTGATTTGTTATCACACAGATCAGCTCAGAAGTATGAATCTTGATCTTTTCTAGTAATTTTAGTGAAATTGCAGTACTCAGGCAACAAAGGCATAAATGATTGCTGATAATCACAGAATGCATGTTCAATATATCACCAGCTTGACTAGGGTTATTAGAATTCTTCTAAGAGGTAGTAAGCGAGATAGATAAGGGGAAGCAGTTGATACAAAATATTTGTATTTTCAGAAGACATTTGATAAGGGAACACATGTTAATGTACTTGAGATAAGGGTCCATGTTGTTAGAGGTGGTATATCAGCATGGATAATGGACTGGCTAACTAACAAAAGGTAGAGTATTGGAATAAGGATGGCAACCTGCAACTAATGGAGAGCCACAGGGATCAATGCTATGGCCATAACATTTTATAACATATAGCAATTGTACAATAGCCAAGTTTGTGATGACACAAAAATATGTGGGAAGGCAAGTGGTGGGGATGACACAAAGAGTCTGCAGAGATCCACATGTACAGGTTATGCGATGGACAAAAACTTTGCAGACAGAATATCATTAGGCAAATGTGAAGTTGTGCACTTTGGCAGGAAGAATAGAGGAGCAGAATATTATGCAAATGGAGAAAGACTGCAGAAAGCTATTACACACAGGGATTTGAGAGTCTTTGTGCAAAAATCACAAAAGGTTTGCATACAAATTGAGCGGGTAATAGAGAGGGCAAATGGGCTATTGGCCTTTATTTCAAAATGAATGAAGTACATAAAAAAGGAAGTCTTGCTAAAACTATACAAGGCACTAGCTTAGCCAAATGACAGTTGAAATACCGAACAGTTTTGGGACTTATTTCAAGGAAAGATTTAGTATCACTGTAGGCAGTCCACAAGGTTGATCCCAGGTATGAAGGGACTATCTTATCGAGGCGAGGTTGAGTAGAAACATACAAGACTTTTAGGGAACTTGACAGGATAAACGCAAAAAGATTGTTTTCCACTTCTGGGAGAGTCTATGACCAGAGGGCGTAATATCAGAATAAGGGAATCACCCTTTTATAGTGGAGAAAAAGAAGAATTTGTTAAGGAAGTTAATTTGTGGAATTCTTTACCACAGTGGGCTGTTGAGGTTAGGTCATTCACTATATTCAAGGCTGAGATAGAGAGTTTTTAAAAAAAAAATCAGTAAGGGAATCATGGATTATGGGGAAAAAGACAGGAAGTGGAATTGAGGATTATCAGATCAGCCAAACTCAATGTACCAAATGACAAATTTTACTCCTACGTCCTTATGGACAATCAATCCATTCTATTCTGTAGCCACAGGCAATATCAATCTTTCTAAACAAAAACAAGTACCTTTCAGTTTAGAATATTTTACTTAAACATAAGTGAGCAACAATCACTGGCCTCAACAATGACACCCACATGAACTCCCACGAACAAACGAAAGAAGTTTCATCTTGCAAGCAACTTCTAATAAACAAGGGAGTGAGTAGGCAGAAAGGATTGGGAGTCGAAAGCAGTGCAAGTTATTCCTTTTCAGCACAATGTCATTGAAAGTTGTTTGATCCTATTCTTGCCTGGTTCTAGCCAGGTCAAAAATAAATTACCATCCCAATGTGTCCTTTGCCCTCCCCAGATGACAATATCATCTGGACTTTTGCCGGTATACTTAGTGCTTTTGTTTAGATTGCTGCAGTTACAGAGGCCAACATGGAAACAGATGCAACAATGATTGATTAACTGACAAAATGCCAGCTGAGAGATTTTTTTTTTTTTTTAAAATTCACTTACGGGATGTGGGTGTTACTGGCTAGGCCAGCATTTCTGAGGAAGTGTCACTGGACCCGAAACATTAACTCTGATTTCTCTCCACAGATGCTGCCAGACCTGCTGAGCTTTCCCAGCAACTTCTATTTTTTGTTTCAGCATATGTTACCTATCTCCATAGGCCCTTGAGAAAAAGGTGAGCTGCTCTCTTGAAACACTTTTCCAACAATGATTGACCACAGACCCACAATGCTGTTAGGAAGAGGATTCCAAGATTTTTGACCCAATGATACTGAAGGAACGGTGATATACTCCCAAGTCTTGAGGAGAAAAAGGAACAAAGGGATGAAGCTGAAAGAAGTGCAGCCACCCTCTGGGAAGAGGAGGTCACTCTTTTTCTAAGGGCTTCAGCAATAGATCTAGATCACATTCAATGAACCAAGGGTCTGTACAGTACTAGGTACCACGTCTCCATCTTCCATGTTTCGTTTCGCTTTCCTCTGATGTAAGAGACACTTTGGCATGAACTGCAGATTCTCTCTTCAGACAATTAGTAGCCTCAGTGATGGCTGTTAAGGGATATCTTGAGTCTCACATTTCATCTCGCTCAACTCCACTCCCATCTCCACTGGTTCCAAATGGACAGGAAACTGGTCTTCATTATGAAAATCTAAACTTAAATCAGCTTCCCATCAGATACGGGTTATTAAACAGACTCACCTCCTGTTTGTCACCTGGTGAAAATTATGCCTTTGTTTCCCTCTCCACAGATGTTATCTGACCAGCTAAGCACTTTAAGCATTTAAAATAAAAACCGAAAGAACCGCGGATGCCGTATATCAGGAACAAAAACAGAAGTTGCTGGACAAGCTCAGCAGGTCTGGCAGCATCTGTGAAGAAAAAATCAGAGTTAACATTTCGGGTCCGGGTCGGAATCTGAGGAAGGATCACCGGACCAGAAACATTAACTCTAATGTTTTCTTCACAGATGATGCCAGACCTGCTGAGCTTTTCTAGCAACTTCTGTTTTTGTTCACTTCAAGCAATTTTAGTTTAAACTACACAAGGAAATCAGTGCAAACAAAGGTAAGACAGAACTGCAGATCAACTTAAAGAAAGGCACACATCAAGAGAGGAAATAGGTAAGAATGTAAGAGATGAAATGCATTGTTAGTGGAAGATATGAACTACATCAATCTACAGCAGGTACAAAACTAATTGCACAGTAAATTCCTGCTGATCATGAGCAATAATGGACAATCAATAGCTTTTCATTTCTCACTAGCAAAGCAATATACATGAACAAATTCAAACACATATCCTGGATCTAGTGCAGGCCTTGCATGTACAGATGAAATAAAATATTCAATTACCATTCTTTCAAATGGGTCATCAGATTGAGATGCCTTATCCAGTAGCTCACTGTATTCCAGTTCTTCACAGAGGCGCTGCAGCGTGTTCACTGGTTCGTTTAACTGCACTGGCATGGAAACTTTAGAAAGATCTTTCCCTACGTTATTCCTTAGAATATTCCACAAGCTTATTTTACTGTTGGCTGATCCTGGAGCTGGCAGGCATGATCTTCTTCTAACATTGTGACTTGTACAATTTTGGGCACGGCCTGTTTTATTTAAGTAAATTAAATATTGCTTAAGATTGTGAAGACTTGACGATAAAATTACAGTGACTGTTTCAATTCATTCTTCACAGAAAATTCAAATAAATACTCACCTTTCCTGAAGAATACCACTAGAGTAAAAAGTGCAGCAGTCAAATAGTGCAACAGTTCCAACATTATTAATTAACGATCACAGTCATATTTGATATACTGTACAAATACACTGAGGGGCATGTTAATCCAATTCAACGGACAGGAAACAAACTGGTTCATATAGAATATGAGGTTAACATTTTGCTCAATATTATTCTCCAATGGGCTGAACCTTACTTCTTTTTTTGGCTAAGTCCAAATTGTGTTGTTTTTTTTTGAAAGGCTTGTCACCAGAGATCTAGCGAGTTCTCTTGTCGTATCTTATACGAAACATACCTCATTTGTCACCCACCTGTCTCGATGGCACTCTCATGTCTAATTTCCACCCCATCTTACCATGCACCTTTCCTGGAACAACGTATCACTCAGCAGATATCCACTGAAACACCAGCATCCCTTGTACCCATGCCACCGTAATGCAGCTAGACGAGCACTGGCACTTCGAAGCTGCCCTGCTCAACCACAGATGAAGTCAGAAGATATCAGAGAAGGAGAAGATGGTAACGTAATTCTTTGATATAATCCTAGTGGACTGGGGGTTGCAGAGGAAGCCATTCTCTTCCTCAAGGATACAGCCAGCTGATGTGAAATTGCCACCTCGAGTGAGGAGGAATGGACAACGGTGCCACAAAAAGGGTCAATGACCATCACTGCTCTGTCAAGGTAAGTGCCACACATCTCTCTCTGCCTCCTTACAGTTACTTCCTCTGCCACTGAACCCAACTCCCACCAAAACACTTGCTGTACCACTCTCACTATTGCCTTCAACAGCTTCCCTCACTTACTCTCCCCCTCAACATCCCAAACCACTAACTGTTCTGTGCTGCGTCCACAATTTTTCAACACATTTCATCACTTTATGCCAACATGCACCAGCAAGACAGACCACCCCACCCACTGTCATCTCATTTATTAGCCCCAATTACTCATTACAGGAGAAGACAACCCATAATATGGCAGACAGAACCCAAATGAGTGGAAATGTATCCAATATCAGGCTTCTCAGTCTCTACCGTGAGAGAATTCAGGCCCTCGAAGACGACTGGGACAGTTCCTGCAGGGATGCTGAAACATCCATGTCACACCAAACACGTTACCACTCTCTATTCCACTGCAATTCTCACATCAACCTCACTGTCTCTCCCAATCACTACACAACACTTCTAACCACAGGTAATGACGTCTTCTCTCTCTCTTTTGCCTCGCAGGTTTTGCAAACCTATCCTCGATCTCTACACAGAAAAACATCTGGCTCCACCAGAAGCCCTATCTTTTATCTCCGAGGATGACAGTACTGTCCGTCTCAGTCAAACTGATGGTCCAGGTACTACATAGCTCAAGCACTCTCTCTAGAAGTGAGGAAGTGAAGGGTGGGAAGAAAATTAAGATTCTTACTTCTAATAGGCAATTAGCCAGACATGTGACAGTGAGAGAACATTCCAGGTTTTCACACCCAAATGCTGAACCTTTGGCGACTTGAAGGCTGCCAATGTTCACAGAATCATGCCTCACTATGATTCACTGTCTTCAGTAGAAAATTAATCAAAACTGGTAAAAGACATGATACAATTTAGAATTGGCATAGTGTCCCTTATTCCACTATCTGAGGGCAATGACATTCTAATTATCACTGTGACAATTTCGAAAAGTGTTATTTTCACCCTGGATGATGGAGTAGAGAAAAAAGCTACCTCCTCCATTGTGTATTTTCAAACAAAATTTTGAAACAAAATACCTGAGGATAATCCCCAGCTTCAATGAAAATTCACCCACCATCACCCTTGGCACATGTTTGTATACAAAGTGGAAGCCTTGAGGAGAAAATATATTGAATGATCTTACATGCATTCTGAGAATTTGTCTCTGCGTCGGTGCTCAAGTTATCCTCTGAAACATTGTCACTTATGTCACTGACATATGAATCATCATCTGAGGCCTACAACAGAAATAAAAACAAATTATTCACTCTTCTTAAAAGCACTTGAAATCATACCCACCAAGATAGCAAGCATCATTGTTGATAAAGAACAGAGTGATATTGACAGTATACACACACAGTAATAACATAGAGAACATTAACCCAGCACTGGCAAACCTCTCACTATAACTGGGAATAGTTGTGAAGAAAATCTCATTCACATACTAAAGAGGATGCAGCAAACGAAGCCAAGCATGTTCCTCTACAGAGAAGATAACTGGTCTGAAAGATATCAATCATGCACAGTTCCCAGGAACATTCTGTATGTCTGTCCTCTTTACCCATCCTTATTTTCATACAGTCATAGAGATGTACAGCCTCGAAACAGACCCTTCGGTCCAACTCGTCCAAGCCAATAAGATATCCTACATAAAACTAGTCCCATTTGCCAGCATTTGACCCATATTCCTCTAAACCCTTCCTATTCATTTAAAAGGCATTGGGATGGGTAAATGTTGTAATCGTATTAGTCTCCAACAGCAGCTCATTCCATACACACACACCCTCTGTGTGAAAAAGTTGACCCTTAGGTCCCTTTTAAATCTTTCCCCTCTCACCTTAAACTTTTGCCGTCTAGTTTTAGACTCCACCAACCCAGGGAAAAGACCTTGCCTATTTAACCTATCCTTGCCCCTTATGATTTTAAAAACCTCTACAAGGTCACCCCTCAGCCTCCGACACTCCAGGGAAAATAGCTCCAACCTATTCAGCCTCTCCTATATATCAAACCCTCCAACCCTGGCAACATCCTTGTAAATCTTTTCTGAACCCTTTCAAGTTTCACAACATCCTTCCTATAGCAGGGAGACCAGAATTGCATGCAATACCGCAAAAGTGGCCAAACCAATGTCCGGTACAGCAGCAACATGACCTCCCAGCTCTTATACTCAATGCACTTACCAATAAAGGCAAGCATACCAAACGCCTTCTTTGCTATCCTATCTACCTGCGACTCTACTTTCAAAGAACTATGAACCTGCACTCCAAGGTCTCTTTGTTCACTCTCCAGGACCTTACCATTAAATGTATAAGACCAGCCCTGATTTGCCTGTCCAAATTCAGCACCTGACATTTATCCACTCCTTGGCCCATTGGCCCATCTGATCAAGATCCCGTTACACTTTGAGGTAACCTTCTTCGCTGTCCACCACACCTGCAAACTTACTAACCATACCTCCTACGATCACATCCAAATCATCTACATATGTGAAGAAAAGCAGTGGACCCAGCACCACACCAATCCTTGTGGCACACCACTGGTCACAGACCTCCAGTCTGAAAAGCACTCCTCCAACACCACCCTCTGTCTTCTACCTTTGAGCCAGTTCTGCATCCAAAAAGCTAGTTCTCCCTGTATTCTGCGTAATCTAATCATGATAACCAGTCTACCATGAGGAACCTTGTTTAAAGCCTTATTGAAGTCCACATAGATCACATCCACTGCTCGGAGAGACAAGGTTTCCCATGCACAAAGCTATTTTGACTATTCCTAATCAATCCTTGCCTTTCAAATGCATGTAAATCCTGTCCCTCAGGATTCCCTCCAAAAGCTTTCTTAAATAGTGGCACAACATAGCCAACCTCCGGTCTCTGGTACCTCACCTGTGGCTATTGATGATACATACATCTCAGCAAGGGGCCCAGCAATCTCTTCCCTCGTTTCCCACACAGTTCTAGGGTACACTTTATCAGGTCCCAGTGATTTATCCACCTTTATGCATTTTAAGATGTTCAGCACCTCCTCCTCTGTAATATAGACATTTGTCAGGATGTCACTATTTCCCCACATTCTCTATCTTCCATATCCTTCTCCACAGTAAACACTGATGCAAAATACTGGTTTAGTACCTCCCCCAGCTCACGGCGGTTCCACACATAGCTGGTCTTGCTGATCTTTACGAGGTTCTATTGTCTCCCTAGTTACCCTTTTGTCTTTAATGGATTTGTAGAATCCCTTTAGATTCTCCTTAAACCTATTTGTCAAAGCTGTCTCATGTCCCCTTTTTGCCCTCCTAATCTCCGTCTTTAGTACACTCCTACTGCCTGTCTACTCTTCTAGGGATTCACTCGATCTCCGCTGTCTATACATGACATATGTTTCCTTTGTTTTCTTGACCAAAACCTCAATTTCTCTAGTCATCCAGCATTCCCTACACCCACCAGCCATGTCCTTCACCCTAACAGGAACATGTTGTCTCTGGACTCACATTAGCTCATTTTTGAATGCTTTCCCACTTTCCAGCTGTCCGTTTATCTACGAATATCCGCCCTGAATCAACTTTTGAAAGTTCTTGCCTAATATCATCAAAATTAGCCTTCCTCCAATTTAGAACTTCAACTTTTAGATCTGGTCTATCCTTTTCCAATCACTATTTTAAAACTAATATAATTATGGTCACTGGCTCCAAACTGCAGTCCCAGTCTATGTATGGAAAATTAAACTCCCCTACCATAACCACCCTATTATGTCATAGATAACTGAGACTTTACAAACTTGTTTCTCAATTTCCCACTGATTATTGGGGGGTCTATAGTATGATACCAAGATGATCGTCCCTTTCTTATTTCTCAGTTCCACTCAAATAACTTCCCTGGATGTATTCCCAGGAATATCCTCCCCAAGTACAGTAGTAATGTTATCTTTAATCAAAAATGCCAGACCCCCTCCTCTCTTGCTCCCCTTTCTATTCTCCTTATAGCATCAAAACCTTGGAACATTAAGCTGCCAGTCCTGTCCATCCTTCAGCCACGTCCCTGTAATTGCTATGATATCCCAGCCCGATGTCCCCAACCATGCCCTGCATTCATCTACCTTACCTGTTACGCCTCCTGCATTGAAATAAATGCAGTTTAATTTATCAGTCCTATCTCATTCTGTGCTTTGTTTCTGCCTGCCCTGTTTCAATAAAACCATAAAACATAGGAGCAGAAATTAGGCCATTTGGCCCGTCGAGTCTGTTCCACCATTCAATCCGCTTTCTCCCTGTAACCCTTGATAATCAAGAACCTATCTACCTCAGTCTTAAATGTACTCAATGATCTGGCCTCCACAGCCTTCTGTGACAGTGAATTCCATAGATTCACCACTCTCTGGCTGAAGAAGTTTTTCCTTATCTAATAGGTCTTCCCTTTACTCTAAGGCTGTGCCCTCGGGTCCTAGTCTTTCCTACAAATGAAAACATCTTCCCAACATCCACTCTGTCCAGGCCATTCAGTATACTGTAAGTTTCAATTAGATGCCCCCTCATCCTTCTAAACTTTTCTGTGTTTTTTTTTTAAAAGAAAGGTTCTCTCATGGAATCTGAATGTGGCTGTCTAGGCTAAGATATATTGCTCCTCTCCTAACCTGATCACGCGTGAATCACTACAAGATGGATCCAAGTTCAGTGGTAATAGTGAAGACAAATGGACTGTTTGTCTTTATTTTAAAGGCAAATAAAGTCCAGAAATAGGGAGCTCATGCTAAAACAATACAAGGCACTAGTCACAGCACACCTGGAATACAGTCAATTGTTTTGGTCCATTGATTAATGGAATGATATACTAGCATTGGAAGCAGTTCAGAAAATATTCCCTAGATTGATTTACTTATGGAGGGATTTTCTTGTCAGGAGAGGTTGAGTAGATTGTGCTTGTACTCACTGGAAATTAGAAGAAGAATGACAGGAGACCTTATTGAAATGTAAGATTGTCAGGGGCCTTGACAGGATAGATGCTGAGAGGTTGTTACCCCTTGTTGGGAGGTCTAGGGCCAGCAGGCATAATATTAGAGTAAGATTTCAGACAGAGACGAGGAGGGATAACACAGTGTGGAGTTGAAGGAACACAGCAGGCTAGGCAGCAGAGGAGCAGGGAAGTTGACGTTTCGGGTCGGGATCCTTCTTCAGCAATGGGGGAGGGAGAAGGGAGCTCAGAAATAAAGAGAGGGAGGAGGGGTGGGGCTGGGGAAGGGAGGTGGGACAGTGATAGGTGAGCGCAGGTAGGCAGTGGTGGGGATTGGTCAGTGAGGTGGGAGGGGCGGATAGGTGCAAGACAAGATGGACAGGTTGTGTCAGGTCAAGGAGGCGGGGAAGGGAGGGAGGGTTGGTCATGGGATGAGGCCGGGGAGGGGAGATTTTGAAACTGGTAAAGTCCACATTTAGGACATTGGGCTGTAGGCTCCCGAGGCGGATTATGAGATGCTGTTCCTCTAGTTTGCAGGTGGTGTCATTGTGACACTGGAGGAGGCCCATGATGTCGCCCAGGGAGTGGGAGGGGGAGTTAAAATGGTTCGCGACTGGAAGGTGTTGTCGTTTGTCACGAACAGAGCGCAAGTGCTCCACAAAGTGGTCTCTGAGTCTACGCTTGGTCTCACCAATGTACAGGAGGCCACATCGGGAGCTGCGGATGTAATAGACCATATCGATGGATGTGCAGGTAAACCTCTGTGTGATGTGAAAGGTTTGTTTGGTGCCTTGAATGGAGGTAAGGGGGAAGGTGTAAGGGCAGGTGTAGCACTTCCTGCAGTTGCAGGGAAAGGTGCCAGGGATGGTGGGGCTAGTGGGGGGTGTGGAGCAGACAAGGGAGCCGCAGAAAACGCAGTCCCTACGAAAGGCAGCTAGGGATGGGGAGGGAAATACATCTTTGGTTGTGGAGTCAGATTGTAGATGGCGGAAGCGGCAGAGAATGATATGTTGGATACGGAGGTTGGTGGGGTGTTATGTGAGGACAAGGGGGATTCTGTCTTTGTTTTTGTTGGGGGGGGTGGGAACGGATGTGATGGCAGAGGTGCAGGAAACACAGGGATATGGTTGAGAGAATTTTCAACCACCAAAGGGGATGATGATGCGGTCCTTGAAATAGAAGGACACCTGGGATGTTCGGGAAATGGAACGCCCCATCTTGGGAGCAGACGCGGTGGAGGAATTGGGAGTAGGGGATTGCATTCTTGCAGGAATGTGGGTGAGAGGAGGTGTAGTCCAGGTAGCTGTTGGAGTCGGTGGGCTTGAAATCGATGTCGGTTTCGCGACGGTCACCAGAGATGGAGACAGAGAGGTCCAGGAAGAAGAGAAAGGAAGAAGAGATGGTCCAGGTGAATTTGAGGTTGGGGTGAAAAGTTTTAGTAAAGTTGATGAACTGTTCAAGTTCCTCGTGGAAGTATGAGGCAGCACCGATACAGTCTTCGATGTTGCGGAGGAAGGGGTGAGGGATAGTGCCAGTGTAGCAGCGGAAGAGGGACTGTTCCTTAACTAGGGGGGAGAAAACAGAGTCAGAGTCAAGGTAAGCGGAGATAGGTTCAGGGTGGCAGGAACAGGCAGAGACAATGGGTCAGCCGGGATAGTCAGATTTGTGGATTTTGGGAAAGATTTAGAAACGGATGGTTCGGGGTTGGGGAACAATAAGGTTGGAGGCTGTGGGCGGGAGGTCACCTGAGATGATGAGGTTGTGAATGGATTGAGAGATGATGTTTTGGTGGTCGGGGTGGGGTCATGATTGAGGGGGCGGTAGGAGGAGGTGTCAGAAAGTTGGCGCCTGGCCTCGGCTATGTAAAGGTCAGTGCGCTACACCACTATTGCGCCACACCACTATTGCGCCTCCCTTATCTGCAGGTTTGATAGTGAGGTTAGGGTTGGAGCACAGGGAGCAGAGGGCTGCACGTTCTGTGGGGGAGAGGTTGGAGTGAGGGAGAGGGGCGGAGAGGTTGAGGCGATCGATGTTGCGACAGCAGTTGGAGATGAAGAGGTCTAGGCAGGGTAGGAGGCCTTGGAATGATGTTCAGGAGGATGGGGTGTGTTGGAGGCGGGAGAAGGGGAATATAGAAGGTGGGTTAGACTCACTGTTAAAGAAATAGGCGCGGAGGCGGAAGAAAAAGTGTTCGACATCCAAGCGTGAACGGAATTCATTGACGTGTGGGTGCAAGGGAATGAAGGCGAGTCCTTTACTGAGGACTGACCATTCGTCCTTAGTGAGGGGCAGGTCCGGGGAGATGGTGAAGACCTGGCAGAGCTTGGGACTGGGACTGGGTGTAGCGTTGGTGACTGGGTGTGGGGGCTAAGTTAGTAACATCATCAGTGGCGTCGACGATGGGTGGAGCAACGTCGGCGGAAGTTGCTACCTCAGAGATGAGGAGGAAATTTTTTTCCTTCTGAGGGTATCCAATCTATGGAATTCTTTACTGCAGAGAGCTGTTGAAGCTGGGTCATTAAGTATACTCAGGGTTGTGATGGACAGGTTTTTAATTAGTAAGGATATCAAGGGTTATGGAAATAAGGCAAGATCAGTTGTGAACAGAAATTTACAGAGAGTAGGATCGAAGAAAATACATACCTCAAGTAGATATATGTGCAGCTGCTGATATTGGGCTAAAGGAAGATTTGTCAACTTCAGCAATTCTCATTAAATTCCACGTGGCTGAACCGAATCAAGCATCCAATGGTACGGTGATGAAACAATGTGCATTCAGCACCTTTGACATATTAGTTGATACATTAACAGTTCTCTCTCGTAAGGGACTGCCCTTTACAGGTTTAAACCTGTCATCACCCCCACCCCTCAGAAAAACAAATCAACTTTCCATTCTTTCCACAGCATAAAATTGTTCTTATCCCAATACATTATCCATTCCTCATTACTTGTACATTACCAGGCTTTTCCCATTGTGTTGGGCATAACCAAGCCCTAAATGTATTCTCAAATAACATTCAACCTAGGTACACACCGAGCAAACCACAGAGGCTTGTTTAAATTTGGGACATATTGTTTCTACTATATAGTTACTGTATTAAAGAAACTCTTTTTACAGTTTTCTCAAATTCACACTATCCTTATTGTGAAAGCAGAAAACCAAAACAGAGAATACAAGCATCGCACCTTTGGAAATGCCACAGGTCCCATGACAAAAGTGGAAATTTTTAAATTTTTTTAAAAAACTCAATAGATCCAAGCAACTGGACTAAACCACCAATGACTGTTGAAATATCAGCTGAGAATAGGAATTCATGCTCAGGCCAGATCACACTCTGATAGCTGCTTTGAACTTACAACCCACAACGAATCCTGAACCGGTATATAGATCGCAAGTGAATAATATCCTCAGCAGCACACTAACCTCATTCTCTGATGAGCTCGCTGACAGCAAGACTTCCTGTGCATCAAAGAACTCACAGAGAGAGTCTGCTCGAGAAACCCTGCTTTCATTTGAGAGTTGATGGACCAGAGGATTGGTTACTTGAGCAAGATCTTGCTGCTGCAGGACAAGGAAAGAAGGAAGAGAAATCATTATAACTGGATTTCAATGCATCAGAAATTGGGAATAAACTTTTTAAAACTGTTTCTGTCTACATATATTAAAAACCCTGAAAATTAAAAACCATTCATAAGTATGTTGTAGTGTAAGTTATTTTTTAAAACAGATCACACACTTAGATTTAGTGCATCAAAACTGACACGCACAACATGTTGCTAGCCACTGCAGCACTTGTTTCTGACAACAATGTAAATCATGGAAATGCTATATTCAATTCTGACTAACTTGCTGGCAGTAAGGATGCCTTTCTAAGCCATGAAAATATTTTTGGGTTCCAATCTGCCATTTTAACCCAAGGCCTGTAAAGTAGTGGTTGCCACACCAGGCAGACTTGCTGGGAACAGCAGCTGATAAGAAGAGGCCACATGAGGGAAGTTTTAATTGGGGAAAACAAAATCCTTGTAATGCAAGATAAGTAGGTCCAAAAGGAATTCTTCAGCTATGTCTATCTTCACAATGAAGATTCTTTCCTCCTGACCCACTTCCCATGTGCCTGGGATGGCCAATCTATTATTTTATGTCAAAGGCAAAATACTGCAGATGCTGGAAATCTGAAAGAAAGTGCTGGAGAAACTCAGCAAGACTGACAGTATTTGTAGAGCCCAAAAACGAATGCAAGAGAAATGAAGGCCACACATCATGGTGACAGGTTCTAAAGATGTGGAATTCCACATTAGGTCTATGAGGCTGTAAATGGAAAATGCAGTATTGATTCTCCAGCTTGCGTTGTGCTTTGTTGGAACATTGTTTCAGGTCCAGGACAGAAATGTCAGCAAAAGGACAAGATGGTTTATTGGAATAGCAAACCAACAGGAAAGTCAGGGTCATTTCTACAGTCAGTGCAGAGGTGTTCCATAAAAAGCTGTCACTTAGTCTGCATTTGGTCTTGCCAATGTAAAAGAAACTGCATTGGGAGCAGTGAATGTAGTAGACTAGATTGAAAGGAGAACAAGTATTCAATATTGAATTCCACACCTTTAGGCCCTGACCCCGTGATATCTGTCCTGGACATGTCTTGGTTGCGTTTTGCTTACTTTGGTCTGTGATGAGGGCCCACTTTCACCCTTCCACACCTTTATTTACATTTTACATCTCTCTTTCACCCCAATCAGCAACCTCTTTGTTGTTTGCACTGTGCCTCCACACCAGCCATCTCCCTGGCTCCTCCTCTATCTTGGTCAACAGTATAAAAATATCATTTCCCAACCCCTTTCATTCTGAAGTAGTGTCACCTCAAACTCAAAACGTTAACTGTTTCTAGCTTCACAGATTCTGCCAGATTCAATTTTCTCCAGCATTTTCTGTTTCTATTAAATTATTTTATAGTAAGGAACCCACAGTTAGCAACTTCCCATACACTTTGAATAGTAAATGAGGCTCGGGCAGTTTCAGGTTTAATTCAGCATTTGGGTTATAGGGTCTGTTTCCGTGTTGTATGATTCTTCGGTCCAACTTGATTGTACCAACCAGGTTTCCCAAACTAAACTAGTCCCATTTGCCTGCATTTGGCCCATATTCCCCTAAATCTTTAAGCTGAGACAATGGTCAGGATTTCCACAGGTAGCCTGGGACAGGTGGATGCAAGTCAGCCAAGGTTAATATGATTGACAGATATTCTGAAACGTTTCCTGCAAGGATCAATGGTAAAATAGGGACTAATAATTAGTTAAGCACAGGACATCTAGGCTCATGCAAAACTAATGAATAAGAAGCAAAGGTGACCAGAAATGAAGCAAAATAGAAGTCACGGCATCCAAGAAAGGGTGTGGAAAAACTCAAGAAATGTCTAATTTTATATAAGCCATTATCAAATACGTAGCTAACTTTTACCTTGCCCTAACAATTATGAATTATGTTTGCTCTGACAATACAGAGCTACTTAAAACAAAATCTACTTTATTTATAAATAAGCAATCAAATAAAAATGCAATTATCCCTCAAATAAAACAATACACTGCTGAGGTTAATTAGGTTTCTTTTTGTCTTTTACAATTAAAAACTCCATTAGCATCATTTCACAATAATTTGTCAGGACTGAAAAGGACAAATACTAATTTAAAATTTACATCAAATGTTGAAATTTCAAAAAAATTCAAAGGTTTACACAAGTTCTATGAAGAATTGAAAATGCATGGAGTACACAATTCAAACTTTATAATTTGTTTGTAAAATGTATTTATTTTGATTTAATTAATAAAATGATCTCTGCTGTGAAAATCTATTTAATTTTGAGTGAAGTTGGAAAAAATAGCATTTCAGAGGGTGCCAACAACAGACATAAAAATTCAAATTTGTAAGATAAACATGGACAAAATGCCCCAGCTTAACAAAAAGCAAAGTATTATTGAAAGGCAGTCATTTCCACAGGAGCTTAAAAATCTATTTAAGTGGTAGGTTACTGACTTGTGAAGATTGTGGCCCAGAGTTTCAAATGCCAGAAAATCATTTCTGAAATATAGACAGGAGTTGCCATGGGGACCCTGAGGAATCCCTATCATAACAGACTCATATGAATTGCCTAGGAAGTTGAACGTTCCACTTGGAAGTTCTGCTAAGTCTGAAACCCTCCAAAAGTAACCATTTAAATCAGAGAATTCACAGGGTTCAGTTGCTGTTAAGTAAACAGTTACTCAAGAAAAGTTAGACTACTAAATACCTGGCTTAACTCACAAGTAACCAATTCATCTCTTGCACACCCAACCACATCTTCCCCAGACACCTCACACACTTGAACCCAAACTCCTCCTGCAGACCAGACATCCCAACATATCCCCTCCCCCACTGCCAAACCCAACATCACCATTCCCATCCACACTGACCTATTCTAAACACATCATTACTTATCCAACCCCCTTGTCATCTTGCACCTTGGCCTTGGCACTGTACTTACCTGGCATCCTACTCTCATTCTTACCTTATGTACACAGCATTTCATGGCAGCTGTCATGGTGGCTCTCTGTGATGCTGGACTTTAAATTTTAGAATACGGCAACTGACTACTGTGAAAAATGGCCAGAGGTTTGCCTTCCCCTGACTGTTTTATGCTATGAGGGATTTGTAAAAATGGAAGTACAAGTCCACATTTCTGAAGGAGTCCTGATCGAAATATACTGTCAGAAGTGTAGAGCTTTTCCACTGTGTAATAAAGACATGTTTCAGCTATCTGACTGCCAATCCTCTCAATATCCAGGCCAGTGCCTACTTACGGCTGAGTTTCAGAGGAAAGGAATATGGCTGCACCTGTTTTGAGTCTTTCCATTTCTGTCATTGTACAATGATTAAATGTGTTGCCTGAAATCAAATGCTCTTTGATTTATACATTCTTAAAACCACTCTTCAAAACCATTATGACTGCATCCTCAAGTTAATGAAATTTCTAACAATCAATGACAAATTATACGCCACTTTGTTCATTACAACAATAAAATGGTTGCACACATTAGTTGACAAGGTCACAAACAATTAACATAGACCTTGAACACATTCATTAAAAGAACATTTTTTTCTAAGGAAAATGTCCATTTGGATGAAATTCCTCATAACAAAGCAAGAGAATCTCGTTTTCTCAATGACTTGTTAGCCAAGTTTAATTTCCAAAATCATACTTATTGCATACAAAATCATACGTGTTAAATAACTTAATACAGAAAGAGCACTGCTTACTTTGCATTAAAGTTTAGAACATAACCTCAATGCTCAACGCAGGAAGCATTAGCCCCAAACTTCTCTCAATTGCAGAGTCTCCTTCTCAGTCACATTGTCAACGAGCTCTCCCCCTGAACCATTCAAGGATCAAACCTCAGCCCTTGAACTTCTTTCAGGAGCTATTATATCTCAAAATGTATACAGATAACATCCTGTTAATGTTTAACATTGTATGGTTCCAGAATTAATTATTTTACTTTTAAGACTTGGCTTTAATTCAGTCAAAACAAGTGCAGATTGCTCCAGCATGACTTTTATTCACAACAGTCATACAAACTGAAAACAGTTCAAATTGGTTGAGTAAGAATCTCTCAGATTTTATAAGCTGCAACAAAGTTTGTTTGGATCTTCCGAAAGTACAGGAGTATTTCTGCATGATAATTTGATAAGCATATTATATCCATCTGTATTCATCAATTGAATTTGATAAGTAATTGTACTAGTTTTTATCTACTTAATTGTGAAAATATCTTAGGTTATGGGCTGTATGAGCCAAAGGGCCTTAATCAGTGCCAAAATGAGTTCATTTGCTTAGATTTTCTTATCCTAAAAGTGACAAGTGCTACTACAAAGCTGTCATTCTGGTGATGGTACTTGCATTGAAACTGTGAAGAGCTCCAGAAGATCCACATTGTGTGTGGCACGTAATTGGTCACTGATTGTTAGAGATTTCATTAACTTAAGAGATCCATAATCTTTAAAGCTACTCTCCAAAAAGTTGTATGAAATTTTACATGCAAGGAGTTACAGCTTAAAATCATAGGTTTAAGTCAGCAAAGACTGACTAAATTAGTGAAAAGTAAATTTACAGCAGGTACATTTATTGGAGGTGCTTTTTAAATGACAGAATCTTTGTGTGCAATAGTCATGGCTAAAAACTCCAAATTCATTTTAAAATCCTTGCATTTCATCACCACCAATGCTTTAGAAGAAGGTCTTTGGCATACATACCTTAAGATTGTAGTTAGACCAAGACCTGAGAGAGTAAGGAAGGACTTTACCCAAATAAGTAAGACACATGTTGAGACGAATAGTTGTTTGAAATGGATCTGTTGTGACAGGTATCCTTTAAAGCATTTAAGCCCAACTTGTTTAATATTTATTTATTAATTCATTCAAATGATGAGGGCATCACTTGCAAGGCTAGTTATATTGACCCTAATTGCCTTCAACATATTTATGTTGCTCATCCAGTTTAGTTTCTGATCATTGCTGAAAACTCCATGTTGATAGTAGGGAATTTGACAATGGCAATGTCACTGAATGTTACACCCGCTATCCTTCAAGTTGGTTATTGTCTCACACTAAAGGGCGAGCATCATTTACACCATACATCAGCCCAAGCCTGAATATTATGGAGGTTTTTTCTTAACATAAGGACATGGATTGCTTCTCTATCTGAAGAAATCCAAATGGGATTAAACAGTGTGATTGATGAACATGCACACTTCAAAATTTCTGATAAAGGGAAAGCCTTTGATCAAACAGATGATGATGTTCAGGCTTTGTACACTGTCCTGCCTCAAGCAAACATAACAAACTTCCTTTGTACTAGGTATGACTCTTGACATTAGGCAGCCATCTCACCCCACCCAACCTCAAATTCCCAATAACTTTAATTTTAATACAGCTCTTCAAATCCACACCCAGCCAAATGCTGCCTTGATGTCAAAAGCCGTAACACCAACCTCACCTCTGGAACTAAGTTCCTTGTCATCATTTGGACTAAGGCTATAAATGTGGTCTGGAGCGGAGTGATCCGGGCAGAAACCAGCAGATTATCTGTTGTGTTTCTGCTGGTTAATAATACCAAGCACAGTAATGAAAGGCAATAATTTTCTGTGAATTGGATGTGTCATTTTCTCGTGGACAGAAAGTACCGGGATAATTTTCATTAAAGGTGGCATCTGTGATAATGCCAGGTGTGCACACCTTTGATTTGATTTGCTGGCTGTGGAAGCGCTATTGCATGCTGTTTAGCTTGAAATGTAGCCCTGTGTAGCAGTTTCACCAGGGTAGCAGCTTTTCTCCGGGCACTGCTGGTACTGCTCCTGGCATGGTGACTTTATTCCTCATTGCAGCCAAGTCAATGGTCCATTTTGAAGACAATACTATAGTGAGTTAGCCTGCAAGACTAGCAAGTTTCATATTGTGGTGACATTCAATTCTGCTACTGATGGCCCACAATGCTTCGTGGATGCCTGGATGTGATCTATTCTGAATTTATCCCATCAGTCATGTGGTAGTGCCACACAGTACAGTGAAGGGTATAAAGACAGCACACTGGCAATAAATCAATCCGCCCTGTTTTCTAGGTCATGATTTTCAAACTGCCTGTGCTTGTTAAGATTGAAGCAGGTCTGATACATTACAGTTGGGCTGAGTGACTGCTCCTACGCTATTCCTCCAACAAACATCCATACTATTTGTGGCCTCTTCACACATGGCTGATTGCCCCTCACATGATCCAGACAGACTGCTTCTCTTAAATGCTCAATATCTGTTGAGGAGATTCTGTGAACCTACAATAATGTCTGACAGAAAACTATTTGTTACTACAGTATTTCAAGGATGCTCAGCTGGCATAGAAGAAGGAGTTCCAGGTTTTGTGGTGCCATGCTGGAAGCCTTAGTCTCCATAGTGGAGACAAGAGGAATGACTGAATCCAAGATTCAGAAGAAAGCCACAGCAAGTTAATGTGTGAAGAGTGGCTCCATAGAAATGATCAAAAGAAATGCAATGATCTCATTGGGTGCATGCATTTGCATTTGACAATAGAACTCTAGTAATACTAGTCTAATTTTTAAGATGTTCTTATGGACAAACATTACAAATAAAATAATAGAAGGGATGGAGGGTGGAGTGTGCAGATTTGTCAGCATGGTAATTATGCATCATCATAAATTAGATATTTATAGTATTTTGTAAAGAGATTGCATCCCTTTTTTTGGAGTCTTTCTACAGATCTTATATCTAATTTCTCTCCAGACTTCACTCTCATGTTCTGTTCCATGAAGGCCTCTTGTTGTCAGTGCAATTCCATTTTTTTTGAGGTTTTACAGTTGATATAAAACACAAAGGGCCAGAAAAGGCAGCTGAGAGTGTTTATTACACACTGTAATGGGGCCATAAGCCAATTCAACAACCTGCAGATTCTCAATTAGAACATGAGAACATAAGAACTAGGAGCAGGAGTAGGCCGACTGGCCCTTCAAGCCTGCTCCGCCATTCAATAAGATCATGGCTGATCCTTTCGTGGACTCAGATCCACTTACCCGTGTTCTCACCGTATCCCTTAATTCCTTTATTGTTCAAAAAAAATCTACCTTTTTTTTAAAAAGCGTTTACTGAAGCAGCGTCAACTACTTCACTGGGCAAGGAATTCCATAGATTAACAACCCTCTGGGTGAAGAAATTCCTTCTCAGTTCAGTCCTAAATCTGCTCCCTCTAATCTTGAGGCTATGCCCTCTTGTCCTAGCTTCACCTGCCAGTGGAAACATCCTCTCTACTTCTATCTTATCTATACCCTTCATAATTTTATATGTTTCTATAAGATTCCCCCTCAATCTTCTGAATTCCAATGAATATGATCCCAATCTACTCAGTCTCTCCTCATAAACCAACCCCCTCAACTCCGGAATCAACCTAGTGAACCTCCTTTGCACCCCCTCCAGTGCCAGTACATCCTTTCTCAAGTAAGGAGACCAAAACTGCACACAGTACTCCAGGTGTGGCCTCACCAGCACCTTGTACAGCTGCAACATAACCTCTCTGCTTTTTATTTCAATCCCTTTAGCAATGAAGGACAAAATTCCATTTGCCTTCCTAATTACTTGTTGTACCTGCAGACCTACCTTCTGTGATTCACGCACAAGGACACCCAGGTCCCTCTGCACAGCAGCATGCTGCAACTTTTTACCATTCAAGTAATAATCCTTTTTACTATTACTCCTACCAAAATGTATGACTTCACATTTATTTACATTGTATTCCATCTGCCAGACGTTTGCCCACTCACTCAATGTATCTATGTTCCTCTGCAAAGTTTCACAGTCCTCTGCACACTTTGCTCTGCCACTCATCTTAGTGTCAATTGCAAATCCTCTTTCAATTACATGGGTCTGAAATTTGTGCTCTCTGTAACCATACCATGCTGCCTCCTCCTCACCACCAAGGGATGGTATTAAAGCTCACCCCATTAGTTCTGAAGAAAGCATACCAAACTCAAAATGTTAACTGTTTCTCCCTCCACAGATGTTACCAGCCCTGAGTTTCTCCAGTATTCTGTGTGTGTTTCAGATTTCTAGCATCTGCAGTATTTTTCCTTAATCCATTAGTTCATATAAATTTTATACTTGGCCTTGTTTCTGTGTGTTTGAACAAAAACTTGTATTTGTACAGTGATTTTAATGATTGGGGTAGCCATCGTTCTTTCAGATGGATTCTCCACATAGCTGAGAGGACAGGTAAACTAACATCAGCATCCACAATGTATCTAACAGCACCAGCATTGAGGCCATGATCATCTGAAACCAACTCTGCCAAGCCTGATACATGTCTGAATGCCTGAGTTCCGATGATCAAAGCAAATCTTCTACGCCCAGCTCAAGGAAGGCACTCAAACGAGAGGATTCAAAGACTTCCTGAATGCTTCCCTCAAGAAATGCAACATAGATGTCAACACATAAGAGACCCTCATTCAGAACAAACTGAACTAGAGGAACCTCCTGTATGAAGGGACACAATTCTTTAATAACACCTGGGGACAAGAGGGAATACTGTAAAGGAACTGGAGAAAGAAATGCTAACAATCTGAAGGCCAAGGAGCAATTGCACATTGCGGAAACACATACCAAATGAATGGTCAGAGAGGCAGCTTGAGGATCAGGTTCATCAGCCACACAAGGCCCCACAGAACCCATGACCAGTGAGCAGTGACATTTAATTTCTTAGGTGGACAATCATACTTGCATGTAATCAATCACTAAAATGGATTGAGGATTGGTTGACAGGCAGAAAGCAGAGAATAGAAATAAATAGGTCATTCTCCGTTTGTCAGTCTGAGACTAGGGGTGTACTCACAAGGATCAGTGTTTGGACCCCAGCTGTTCACTATCTATAATCAATGATTTGGATGTGGGACTGCATGGGCTCTTGTGGTGCAGTGGTAGTGCCTCTACCTCTGAGCCTGAAGACCTAAGTTCAAGTCTACCTGTTTCGGAAGTCTGTAATACCATCCCTAAACAGACTGATCAGAAAATATTTGGTTGGGAGGACCACGTAGAACATTTCCATATTTGAAAGATAATATAAAACTTGGTGGGAATAGGAGTTGAGAGAAGAAGGCAAACAGACCAACAGCATGTGAGATGGAATGTAATCTAGATAGGTACAAAGTCACCACTTTGGTACAAGAACTAAGGTGCAGAATATTTCTTAGCCTATTCTCTAGTGCTGTTGCAATCATAGGTACAATGAAAAAGGCACCACCCCACACATGGGTCACATAGTCAGTCACCTGTCATGCATTGTACCACTTTAATGTTAGGTGCAAAGGAATTCTAGAAAACCCAAATAAGGAGAGGTTACTGAAAAGCTACTTCACCTGCAACTGTATAGTGCCCCTTTAATTTACTCAGCTTCAATATCCTTCTTGTACATGCACATTCGATCTTTGGGGAATTGATGTATGAACTTCTGGGCTGAAATTTCATGAACAAAAGTTTCCATTCCTGGCTTTGCATCATCAGTTTGGTAGAATGACTTGAGAATTAAATATTCTGAAACAGAATGGCAACGCACCTGTGCATGCCATTCTTCTACCCTCTTAAGGTGATGGAAAACATACATGGTGCCACTATACTCTTTAGCACTTTGTCCTCATAGGCAGTGCCTGATGATCATTGATTAATATAGACATGACATAACCAGCCATGACAGATCGACCTGACAAAGTCTTAGGTTAGCAGTGACTGGAATATTATGTTCAGTTTTGGTCCTTTTGCATAACAGACAATAAAGGCCCTGAACAAAGTCCAAAGTAAGTTGGCTAGAATGCTATCCTCAAAAAGCTAAGGAAATTCGGGCATTTCCACAATGACGCTTACCAATTTATTTACAGATGCACCATAGAAAGCATCATATTTGGATGCATCACAGCTTGGTGTGGCAACGGCGCTCCCCAAGGCTGCAAGAAATTACAGTCATGAATGCAGCCCAGACCATCACAAAAACTGGCTTTCCATCCATTGGATGTGCCCATACTTCCCATTGCCTCAGAAAAGTAGCCAACATAGTCAAAAACCCATCCCACCGTGGCTATACTCTCTTCCACCCTCTTCCATCAGGCAGAAGATAGAAAAGTTTAAAAAAAAACGTACCAACAGATTTAAGAACAATTCTTCCCTGCTGTTATCAGACTTATGAACGGACCTCTCATATTAGAGTTGATCCTTCTCTGCACCTTCTTTGTAGCTGTAATTTTATATTCTGCATTCTGTTCCATTATCCTGATGTACTTACATAAGGTACGATTTGTCTGGTTAGCATGCAAAACAATACTTTTCACTGTATCGCGGTGCATGCAACAATATTACATCAAATCCAATCATTAAGTTCTTATTAACCACTTTTTCCATATATAAAAGCTTGCCACTTCCAAATGTTTACATCTGTACCATTAAGTAACTTTTTATACTTGGACTGAAAAAAAAAAAATCAATTTCTGCACTTCCTAATGTTAAGCTCCTTTCCATGGATTGCCACGGTGCTGTGGTGGAAAGGTTTTAGTGTTCAATCGATCCGGAGAGTAATGTCATCAGGAGTTCTCAACTCCAGGCAGGGCCGCCCATGATGTCAAGGTTGGGGGGTGGAACCAGACCAAGTGCAATCCAAGCAAGTCCTCAATGGCAATTCAGGCAGAAGACAGTTGTATGATACCAATCGTTGTGATGGCAGATGAAGGTTTCTGGCCTAGGGTGATCCCCAGTTGTCGACGTTTCCTTGCCACGGGAAATGGGTCTACTGTCTGCCAAGGACCTTGTATCTACTGATGTGCAATAGTATTCCCATTTTAAAAGAAGTTCTGCACATGGTGCTGCCCTAGAGGAATTCTCCCACCACCTCCCCCACCGCCGCCACACAACACAAGCCCTGCAGCGATTGGCAGCAGGTGACAGGGACAGGATTGAGAGATCTAAAAGACCCTAGCTTTTGACTGGCACTTAGGCAGTGGAGTTTGATTCAGTATTTTGTTTTGGAATAGGAAGAGGAAAGCATTTCAGCAGCTTTCTTCACAATGGAGCATCCATCTTCAGGATCGACTCTGCTCACCCAGCCTGGGGAAGGAGGTAGAAAAATGCCCTAAAAATAGTCTGTTCCCTCACCAACCGGATTTAGCAGGCTCATCTACCCGCTGTCTGAAAACCAACCATTTCAACGAATGTATGAACCCTCATGGGCAATGATCAAAATAATCATCCAGAACAAAGAACTGCCCTTGTTGCCCACGATCTCAGGAACTTCAACACTGATGTAGATGCCCTGCAAAGGACTCAAAGAAAGGTAAAGGACAGCAGAGCAAAGGTAGTGGTGGTTACATTGCCCTCTGGAGAGGAAAACCCAAGTATCAACCTAGGACACGTGGAATTAGATACGCTATCAAGAACAAATTCATCAACCAACTCTCAAAGCTCCTTGCTGGCATCATTGATTGCCTCATGACTCTCAGTTCACAACTTGCCAAGAACCAGCAGGCAATGGTCATGAATCCCTGTGCTCTAACCCTTGATATCAAAAATGAATCCAAAGACGACTCCAATCTGGACACCATACACACCAACATCCCCGAGGAGGATAAAATTATCCTTCTTGAAGACTTCAAGACAAGGAATTCAAAGAACTGCCAATTCAAGAAAGGAAAGAGGAATTCTAACTTCAACAGAATTCTCTTGCTCACCAAATGTGCAGAAGCTGATCATCACCAACGCACTGTTCCACCAAAAAGACAAGTTCAAGACTTATTGGAGGCATCCACAATCAAAGCACTCCATTATTGTGCCATTCTGAGACAAAAGGATGCTGTTATTACCAAAGTGATGACCAGTGCAGATGGCTCCTGGACAGACTGATCCACAATGTCCATCAAATGCCACCAAAAGCAGCTGAAGGCAAATGAAACATTTCAGTTAAAAAGCTCAATACTGACCAGCTTCAAGAGCCAAGCAGGCTACCAAATGTCCAACAATGTCTCCACCAAAATCTC